CCCCGGGACACAGGCCCTTCTGCGGCAGCTCTATCCTTTCCCATTCCCCAGCTAAGTGTTCCTATTTGCAGGCTCCACTGGGTTTAAATTGGCTTTACTGCGGACACCTTGCAGCTTCCAATAGCAGAGAGACAAGTGGTAAAAAAAAAAAAATCTGCACAGAAGAGCGTAATTCTGGAGAGGGACGAAGGAGGCTGAGTCAGCAGACGCGGGGCCTGTGGCCACCTTGCCTGGCTCTGGGCTCCGCCCCCGGCCAAGCCCAGCAGCACTGGCCACGCCCCCAGTGGCCTCCCTCCTGGATGCTTCCGAATCGCCCTCACCTGCCCCCCTCTTGGCCGGTGAACATCCCGAAGTCTACCGGCCCTTCGGCCCTTCGGCCAAACCTCACCATGGGGAGACGCTCCCCCCGGCGTGCCCGGCACTCACTTCTCCTGGGCCAGATCCCAGGGAAAGACTCCACGGGCTCTCCACGCGACGCCTAAAATCCTACCCAGCCCAAGAATCGAGTGAGCACCGGGGCCGAGGCCGTGGCTGGAGACCCGGGCCGCGTGCGTGTGGGGAAGGCTGTTCTGAGCTGGCGGAGCTGCCTCCCGTTTCTCTGCTCCGTCCTGAGCCTTAGGTGGGTGCTAATCCCTCCCCTAACTTCTGTGCTCTCTTGGGAGGCCCGAGTGAGATGCACCGCCAGGGCTCTGCGAAGTCGGGTTATACAACCGAGGCCTTGTCCTCTGACCCCGGAACCAGGAGGGGGCTCGCCCCAACCTCAGTCCGCCCGCCGGAGGCCTCGCTGCAGTTTCCCACCTGCTCTCAACTTGGGTGACGGTCTGTGTCTTCCCGCGGCGGCTGCTGGGTGAGGTTAGAACGCTGCCCGTGTGCGTCCCTCCTCTTTCCTGCCCCGACCCCAGTCTCCCCTTTCCTGCCCCGACCCCAGTGTCCCCTTTCCTGCCCAGACCCCAGTGTCCCCTTTCCTGCCCAGACCCCAGTCTCCCCTTTCCTGCCCCGACCCCAGTGTCCCCTTTCCTGCCCCGACCCCAGTGTCCCCTTTCCTGCCCCGACCCCAGTGTCCCCTTTCCTGCCCCGACCCCAGTGTCCCCTTTCCTGCCCCGACCCCAGTGTCCCCTTTCCTGCCCCGACCCCAGTCTCCCCTTTCCTGCCCCGACCCCAGTGTCCCCTTTCCTGCCCAGACCCCAGTCTCCCCTTTCCTGCCCAGACCCCAGTCTCCCCTTTCCTGCCCAGACCCCAGTCTCCCCTTTCCTGCCCAGACCCCAGTCTCCCCTTTCCTGCTCGGACCCCAGTCTTGCTCATCTTGTCGTGTGGGTGTGAGCCCTCCTCTCTCTCTCCCTTTTTTTTTTAACTATATATATTTTTATTTCAGAGAGGGAGAGGGAGAGAGAAACATCAATGACGACAGAGAATCATCGATGGGCTGCCTCCTGCACACCCCCCACCGGGGACTGAGCCCACAACCTGGGCATGGGCCCTTGACCTGAATCGAACTGGGGATCCTTCAGGCCGCCGGCCGAGGCTCTATCCACTGAGCCAAATCGGCCAGGGCCCCTCCGCTCTCTTCATCCCAACATCCATGCATCATGAGTCAGCGCTGACGCCCACAGTTCCCCAGGTTATTCTGGGTTTGGCTCGGGAATCGCTGCCTGTTTACAAGTCTGGGATTAACCTGCCAGAGAGCAGAGCAGCCCGCAGCTGTCCTCAGGGCTGGGAGAGCGCGGTAGTGAAACCAGGCCCATCTGCGCTCACAGATAAGTATTTAAGGGCCCAGCACGGAAGTCCATCAATCCCGTGGGCAGATGCAGTGCGCCCTCACTCCCTCCGCGGGGAATCCTCCTGGGGCCCCAAGTTCCACTGCCTGTAACATCCCAACAAACAGGGCAGAGAAGTACTTGTTTAGGACAATCTATGGGAGGCAGTCATGAAAGTATCTCTAATACAGCTCCTCCTTTTTAAAATTTTTAAGTTGATTTTGAGAGAGGAAAGGGAGAGAAACATCGATGTAAGAGCCTAACATGGATTGGCTGCCTCCTGCATGCCCCCTATCTGGCATCAAGCCCCCAGCAACCCAGGCACGTCCTCTGACCAGGAATCGAACCTACAGCTTTGGTGGAGCGTCCATCTATAAACCAGGAGGTCACGGTTTAATTCCCGGTCAGGGCACATGCCCGGGCTGCAGAAGGCAGCTGATCAATGATTCTCTCACCATTGATGTTTCTCTCTCCTTCTCCAAAATAAATAAAAACATACATATTTTTAAAAAGGGTCGGCTGCTGCCAAGGCAATGACATCCTGTCCCAAGCAAGGGCTGGACCCAAAGCAGATGTGTCCCGCAGGCCAGCTTACAGGGAGCTGTGGGCCCAGCCGCCCCAAGGCTCCCCCACAGCATCATCCTGGCAGAGGACTGACCCAGCCCCCACGGGGAGTGCTGTGCTCCTCATTTATTGAAATGCCTGTGAGCACACAGGCGAGAGAGACACACCTGCCTTTCCCTCTGTGCCCAGGGTTTTGCTTTCCCTTCCTGTGACAATGATCCCCAAGATCCTCTTAGAATGTAAAATGGAGAGCAATAAACCAATTAAAACATAAAGTCAAGCAGGCTTAGAATATAATAAGGAAGACTGATGAATCCACACTGAAACAATTTCAGGAAGGGAAGGGAAAAGGAGGATTATGAATTGAAGTTAAAAAAAATGCTCAAATGAGCCTTTTTTTGGATCTGAAATCTCTGAAACTGATCAGCTTTTTCTTTCTCTTTCTTTTCTTTTTTTTTTAAATATATTTTATTGATTTTTTACAGAGAGGAAGGGAGAGAGATAGTCAGAAACATCGATGAGAGAGAAACATCGATCAGCTGCCTCCTGCACATCTCCCACTGGGGATGTGCCCGCAACCCAGGTACATGCCCTTGACCGGAATCGAACCTGGGACCCTTCAGTCCACAGACCGACGCTCTATCCACTGAGCCAAACCGGCTTCGGCTTCTTTCTCTTTCTTGGTTCACACAGAATTGGGGCCGTTAAAGACCAAAATTCAACCGAGTAAATTGGGAGATCTGATTGGTTTTAAGCGATTCATGCACCGGGCAGCATCCTATCCGCCAGCTAGGAGCTCTGAGGGGTCGAGGGGTCGAACAAATGGAAGGTCTTTATAGACAGAGGGTGGGGCAGGGGAGTAACTAGCAAAAGGAAAGAATTCTTAGAACAGGGCATCTGTGGGGGCTGCGGGGATGGCAACATGTTTGTCATGCAGCTTGCCTCTTGCCGATGGGGGTGCAGAGAGGGCCCACATGACTAACTCACTGGTGCTGAGCGGACACTCCCAGGCCAGGTGATTAGCAGTGGGGCAGGTATTAAATCCAGGCTTGGGGTCACAGGCTGTTAGCTGGAGTGACCCCATTTGGGGGCCTGGGGGTTTTCTCTTAAACAATGTCTCCCTTGTGGTCCTACTCTCAGTTTAACTGGGAGATGTGATCGAACATCAGGGACCAGCGTCGCCCTCAGCTCCATCGGCGGCTGTGGGGGCAGCACTGCGGACCCTCGGTTTTGCTGGATCCCTGTGACCTTCACAGGTCACGGCTCCAGGTTCCTAATCCCCACAGCCCGTCCCTCTCCTCCTTCCCGGTGGGGCTTCCCGGTCTCAGGAAGAGCCTTTGCGTGGCTGTCAGCAGGTGCAGACATGGACATAAGCTTTCGAGCGAATCCAGCGCCGGGGATGTTATGACGACGTGGACGGAAGGCACGTCCGACCAGCAGGGAATTTCTGAGTGTTTGGAGCCAAAGTGACGACGACTGCCAGGAAGCAAAAGCTCAACGGAAGGAGCCAATGCTCCGGTCGGCAGCGCTGCCGCCTCCTTCAGACAGGGCAGCACTGTAGCCTCCTTCAGACAGGGCAGCGCCGCGGCCTCCTTCAGACGGGGCAGCGCCGCGGCCTCCTTCAGACAGGGCAGCACTGTAGCCTCCTTCAGACGGGGCAGCGCCGCGGCCTCCTTCAGACTGGGCAGCGCTGCAGCCTCCTTCAGACGGAGACTCAGAGGAGGGCAACACTTTAAACAATGAAGCATTTAAGTTAAAGAAAGAAGCAGAGGAGGAGACATGCAATCCACTGGTGGCAGATTAAGGGGTGAGAGAGCAAAGTGGGGAAACCCTGACTTGATAAAGAGTGAAAGGGAGACACGGACTTCTGCCCATCGGGGCTGCGGGCAGTGAACGCGAACACTCACGGCACACGGGACGGGCTGTGGGGAAAAGACAACGACATGGTCCCGGCTCGGGCTCTGGTGGGGAGGGAGGGCGTGCCTTCCAGGGTCTGGAAACAGAGATCACGCCTGTCACTCCCAAGGTATGTTGTCCCAGATGCCAAAGGCAACAGTTTCAAAGGTCAAGGTTGACCTTCGTCAAGGATGCTGCCGGCCGGGATGGACTACCTGCCCTGACCTGCGTGTGGTCAGGAATGTTTACGTCTCTGAGTGTGAAGGCTGCCATGCGGGCCTCCCCAGCTCTGGCCCTTTCTCATCCGCACTGATAATCCCGATGCCTGAGTGCACGTGGGAGCCACAGTCCCCGAGGCCCAACTCGGTCAGACAGACCCCGTGGAAAGAGTTGGCTTTTGAGCCCCACGGCTCCCTCCCTCGGGGCCTTCCACCCCCCAGGGTGTGGCTCCAGGCACAGCAGGCAGCGTGGCCGTGGCTGCAGACACCTCCTTGCTGGGCTACAGGACAATCCAGGGCAGCCGAGGTCTCCAAGAGCTAAGGAGAGGCTCTTCCCGTGTCCAGTCACTCCTCACAGGGGAGCGGGGCCCCGCCAACGCCCACAAACCCTGAATCCTGGGAAGCCTCCCACTAGGGCTCTTCTAGAACAGCCAGGGGCACAGTTCATCTACGAGGCACCGCCCAGTGGGCGCCAGCCACCAGGCACTCCTTGCTATGAACTGCGAGGTACGAAAACGTATCCAACAAGACGTTTAAAGAGGAAGAAAGTGCAAAATCCTTTCCAAGATGAGATCCCATTTCAGCATCTTGCCATTTATTTCAATGTCGTCCCAGACACACATGGGGGGCAGCATACGCTCCCCATCACTCCACAGCGGCACACCCCCCAGGCCCAGCGAGTCTCCACGTGACATGTGGCCTAGTGCTTTGCATCGAGGCAAGATCTTTCCAGGAAACAGGAGGGAGAGGAAAACATGGACATTTGGTAACATGATTATAAAGAACTTGCGGTAGACGGATTGAAAAACAACATCTTTAAACAACCATCATCGACAGAACAAGCTTCCCTTATTCCGCTAGCGCTGGAGAGTGAATGTCTGTGCCCTCGGACTCCGGCGCTGGCAGGCCGGGCAGGCCCGCGTCTCTCACTTCCCCACACTGAGCACCGCCCCCGCGGGAGTGAAGGTGGCCCTGCCACACGCTGTCCTTCGGCTGTGCCGGCTGCTGCAGAGGCTCGACCTCCCCCCTCGCACGGCCTCCCGGGATCAGATACTTCGGTAGTCAGAGCCCCGGGCCACGATGGCGGCGGCTTCCCACTCCACCGCGAAGAAGGACACGGTTCCGAAAAACCCGAAGACCACCATGAGCAGGAGTTGCCAGTGGAGGAGAAGGTAGTTACTGTAGAAAAACGCCACGGCTGCACAGATGGACTAGGAAGAAGGAAGACGGGTCACAACATGCACGCGGTGGCCCGAGCTCACAGCGAGCCCCCCCCCACCCCCCTGACGTGCAGGCCCCGGCTTTCCGCGACTGGCAGAGCTCTCCGTGCTCTCGACAGGGCTCCGCCCGTCACCCGCTCACAAAATGCACCAGAGACTCCCGTCCAGAGCGGGTGACGATCGAGTGAGCTACAGTCTCTGTTCTTTAAAACAGCAATTGGCGGAAACTGGAGCAGTAATGTGCATCACAGCCAGGACTGTCTATACTGCGCACGAATCCAGGTGTCTAAGGAAGGCTCTAACTGAACTGGAGACCAGGGCATAAGCTCTCACATGAGTGGGGCAGGAGGGTCACACTCTGGGCATTGCTTCCTAATTCTACTCACAAACCCCGTTAGCAGATGTCCCCACTGCTCGTCAGAGACACATTATAAGAAACAAAGTTAGCCCGGCCGGCGTGGCTCCGTGGCTGAGTGTTGACCTATGAACCAGGAGGTCACGGTTTAATTCCCGGTCAAGGGCACTTGCCAGGGGTTTCCGGCTGGACCCCCAGTAGGGGGTGTGCAGGAGGCAGCCGATCAATGATTCTCCTAACTGATGTTTCTATTTCTCTCCCGCTCCCTTCCTCTTTGAAATCAATAAATACATATTTAAAAAAAAAGAAAACAGTTAAAGCACTAAAACAAAGGCTGCCCAACCTGCAGCCGCGGTACCTGGACAAACTTAAAGACGGCGAAGGCGGGGGCGCTGTCCTCGGCGTAGAGGAAGCCCAGCATGCTGAGCAGCTGCGTGTTGAAGCAGCTGTCTCCCAGGCCCAGCAGGAAGCTGCAGAAGATGGCCACTTCCTTGCTGAGGAGAAGAAACATTAATTTAGAACGAGCACCAACAATATCTGCGAGAGCCATTTCAAAGGTGGAAGCAGCTCACCCACAAAAGCACTGTCCCTCCCAAGCTTCCAACACCGTGAAACAAGAGTGAGTAAATCTTGGCATTTTCAAAGGAAGAGTTCATGCTCCAGTGCACTCATGTCCGCAGTCCAGCAAACTCTGGCTGCCACGCGTTTGCAGCAGGACCGCCCTGAGGCTGTGGCTCTGGACAAAATGTCGGTGAAGGACCGGCCGCCCTGCCCAGCCGCACGGCCACGCCCTGCTCCTCGCTGTGCTTCCCCCGGGCCCTCACTTCCAGCGATTTCACTGCTCAGAAAGCAGAGGCACAACATTCACACCGATGCCCGCCCCCGTGCTTCTTCACAGATCGAGCAGACTTGGTGGGAAAAGATTAGCACGGACTACAGAAATAACTGGTTCTCTACGGATTTCCACCTAAACTCATGCTGGCTCCATAAGCGCATTATAGAGGAGGATTACCTGCCCTGCTGTGAAGACCTCCCCATCTACCCCCCGCCCTCCCCTGACTGCTGGGAAAGCAGGTGGCCTCACCTGGATTTGATGTAAGCACTGCTGTCGGTCCCCTCCAGGGGGGCGATCGGGGCGTCCCCGGGCATGTTGAGGAATATTAAGTAAAAAGCTACAAAGTGCACCAGGGTGCCCAGCAGCACAACCGGGTTTCTCCCGAAACGATTATTCTTGCTCAGGAGGCCGAAGAGGCTCCCACCTATAAAGTCAATGAAACCGAGAACAGAATGACCCAAGATCAGGTTAAGAAATCAAAATAATGATCTGAAAAAGAAAGAAATGAAATCCAGTGAGCAGTGCGGGCAGACTGGGGACCAGGGCTTCCTCCTGGGTCTGAGGTCAGGGCCGACGCCCTTGACCCTGGGGAGTATCAGAACGGGGGGGGGGGGGGGGGGGGCGCGGACCCCAGCTGGCGTCAGACAGAGAACAAGAAAGTCGGGGATTCCCAGACACCTCACTGAGCATCTCCAGAGACCCTGTGTTTTCCTCTGAATTATCTGGCAAATGTCTCGTAACTTAGTTACCTTACAACAGTGATAATAAAAAAAACAAAGACCTGCCCATTTGGGGAAAAATAAACAGGGAAATAGAAATTCAAGAACAGAGGGAGGCAAAGGACACTTAAAATTTCAACTATAACTTAACAGATTTCACGCGAAACTTTTTCCCTCACTGACCGAGGATTTCCCCGATGCCGATGAAGATGCCGGAAAGCCCGATGAGGCTCTTCTCTTCTGCTCCGAACTTATTGACGGCGCCGATGCAGGTCCCATACACGCCGGAGAAGAACGTCAGTTCCAGACCTTCCGGAACAATCGGGTTTAAGTTAGACACTCACACCTGCCCCTCCCCAGCTTCCTCCGTGCCTAGGAGTGTCTGAGCCGTGCACATACCAAACACACACAAGCCACAAAAACTCGTTCAGCCTGAAACGTTCCTCCCAAGCAGAGAGTACGTTCATGATGAAATGGAATTGGCCCCATGACGGCAGATGGCACATATTTCAGATAAAAATATACAACTCAGAGCAGCAAAGACGGGCTTATGTTCAAAACGGTCACTGCGTGTGCATAGGGGCGGGTGGGCAGAGGATAGAACTCACATACTATGTAATAGCTTCCCAAGGGAACAGGGGATACATTTGGAAAACTAGTAGGTGCTATTGCACAATAACCTTTTAATTAAATCCTTTTTCCCCAGGAAACTGTGAAAAGGGTAAAAATTAGGGCAGATCAGCCTAAGACCTGATTCCTCAAAGATACAAACCTTAACTGAATTTTAAAGATATTTACTTTTTCTTCTAAAAAGATATTTATACCCATGAGGCAGATAAGGGCAAAAGTAACAATTGGCGCATTCCAGCCCTTTTAAGAGGAAATAAGTTTCCTGTCATTCTTAAGACGTAAGAGCACTCCACCCATTATCACATCACATGACCAGCAGTTAGCCACCAGATTCATTCCTTTTCATTACAAATTCTCTTAATGCCCAGCGGGCGTGGCTCAGAGGTTGAGCACTGACCTACAAACCAGATCACAGTTAGCTTCCCAGTCAGGGCACCTGCCCGGGCTGTGGGTTTGATACCCAGTGTGGGGCGTGCAGGAGGCAGCTGATCAATGATTCTCTCTCATCAATGATGTTTCTATCCCTCTCTCCCTCTCCCTGTAATCAATAAAAAATCATATTAAAAAAAAAGGAATGACCTTAATCCATACAAAACCACAAAGGTTTATTCTGTTGTTTCCTATAGTGTCCACTCTGCCCTACAATCACTGCTTGGGATGACCTGTGCCCCGGATACAAGCCCGCGTGTAGAACCGTCCACACTGCATGTGGCTGGCCCTGTGTGCTGTGGCGGTGACGCTGGCAGAGGCCAGGCTAGCTTCAGGGTCTGGTCCTTTCTCCTTCTGCCCCTTTTGGAGCCCATGCCACTAAGAAGCCTGGCATCCTGCAGGGAGGGGAGGAGGGGGTCACGTGGGAGGTCCTGCAGCTGGCCAGGCACACCTGGAGAGGCAGAGACCCAGCCTGGATCTGACCCTTCCGAAAGCAAATGAAACCATCTGGAATGTTCTAGCCCAGCTGCCCTCTAACAGCACCCACAAGAGACCCCCAAAGGGGCCATCACCAGCACCCCTCCGCTGAGCCCAGTCAGTGCGCAGAACTGTGAGAAAGCATGGCGTGGTGGTGGCTGTCATTAGTCGGCAACAGAAAACAAACCAAAATCAAGGCACTTACTCCCTGATAAGCACTCACCTGTATAGGCGGTTGTAATGCTGAGAAGGAGCATCTCCTTGGTGACACACAATTTAAGAGACTTTTCTGTAAAAAAAAAAAAAAAAAAAGAATCTGGAACTTAATTTCAACTAATCGAACAAACATTCTAAAACATCTGTTCACCGAAACACCCCTTGGTCAATAATGCCAGTGAACAAATACACTGGGACAGAGCTCCGTGATCCACATTTCAGACTGAAATGCTTAAGGGCTGGCCCTGGCCGGCTGGTTGCTCAGTGGCTAGAGCATCGGCCCTGGGACTGAAGGGTTGCCGGTTCAATTCCAGTCGAGGGCACGTACCTCGGTTGCAGGCTCCATCCCTGGCCCCAGTCGGGCACGTGAGGGGGAGGCAACCAATCAATGTGTCTTTTTCACATCAATGTCTCTCTGTCTCCCCCCTCTCCCTTCCACTCTCTGAAATATCAATGCAAAAAATATCCAGTGAGGACTAACAACAACAACAACAAAAAGCTTAAGGGATGAACTATTTGCTCTATAAATAAAATGCTCATTTCAACTGCTCAAATATACCCTAGAGTCGTGTTTTCCCCAATGCATTCTCCAGCTCTAATTAAAAAAGAACACGAAATGGAGAAAATGGAATCAAACAAACAACAGAACATTCTAACAGTCGTGTTGAAAGGCTAGGCCTTTAAGGGAGTCAGCTGGCAGAGTGCTCGCTTCCCGAAGGAATTAGCGTCCGGAGCAGCTTTAAGGCTGACTCAGATGGGAATCACCGGGCCCTGCTGACCACGCGGCCGCCGAACACACTTCCTGAGCTGCTCACTCAGATCTGAGGGTAAACTTCAGCTCCGCACCTGCTTACACTCGCTTTAATGTTTGTTTTCATGCTGCTCAAATTAAAATATACAATGGAAAATGCGTTTCTAAAAACTGGATTTTTGTTGTTAATCCTCACCTGAGGATTTTTTTTTTAAGGGACAGTGGAAGGGAGAGAGGGAGGGAGGGATACATCAATGTGAGAGAAACACATCGACTGGTTGCCTCCCACACGCCCTGACCGGGGCCGGGGATCAAAACCTGCAATCCAGGTACATGCCCTTGACCAGGAATCGAACCCGAGACTCTCCGTTTTCTCTTCTATTAAATGGAGATAAGGATGGGTCACATCTCCAGGTCGTATCATACATGTTACACAAGCCTCGGGATTGTGAGAATAAAATGAAGCACAAGAGGGTTAGCCAGGAAGAGCCAGACTGATGCGAGCGGCCGTCCTTACGAACCTCGGTCCCCGGCGCTCCAGCCCCGCTCTGAGAGGCGAGGGATGCCTGGAGAGATGGCCCGTGTCCTCACTTTCTCCCGTAAACCCCCAATTCCCGGGTTCCCTGCCGCCGCCCCCCCCCCACGCCTCCCTTACACCCCCGCTCGGGCGAGGTTGTGGGATCCCCGCCATCCTTCACACACACACACACACACACACACACACCCCGTCCCAGAGGTGTTTACGGAGAAGCCTCATGCCTTCAGAGCGGCAGCCCCAGAGCATGAAAACACCGGGTACCGTCACCCAGCTACCACGGGAGAGGGAGAGGCACGCGCTGCCGTGGTTCCTAAACAATCAGCTCTCGTACTTCAGCCACAGAAAACACTTACTGAACGCATCCACGGCCTTGGTCAGGTTGCTCCGGGAAGACCTGGGAAAATAGAAAGAAAGGAAATAAGAGTTTTATCCCCTGAAAACTGAAAAGAGAACAAAAGAGAACTTTCCACTGAAGCTGGTAAGGGCCAGGACCCAGCGCCTCAGTGCTCCCCGCTCCAGGAGGCTGGCCTTGCCCAGCAGCTGGCCTGGCGCCACCCGGTGGCTCTTTATGGTACTGACCAGGAACAGAATTCTTTCAAGCCCGATGCGCTGAACACCGTCCTGCATTTTCAGACGTGACGGCTCAGCCTGCTATTTTCACCCCGGGAAAACCATGTGTGCTAGCTCAATCTCCCGCCGCCCCTACCGTTAAAGAGTCAGTTCTTCAGCGTTAAAACGCTTCAAAAGCAACACCTCCGCCATCTGGGTTCACGGTTGGGTGCAGTAATTGGTTGATTAAAAATGTGGGCCAAAAACAATAAAAAATGCGGGCCAGGTGTTGTAAAGAATTCTGAAATCAGCCCCAGGCCCTGTAGGCACGGGGTGGGGCAACGCCACCTCCCACCCGAGCGCTCCTCCCTCCCGGTACTTGCTTTAAAACTTTCCCCTCCTGCCTGCCCGGCACCGGGTGTCAGTGGGGCTGTATGAAGGCTGGTAGCCTTTAGACTAGATGGACTCAAAATGTGTGTTCAAGTGGAGAGGCACGTGCCCGACGTCTTACCCGCTGACTTCCAGGTCCTGGTCATCGGAAAACTCATCTTCTCCCAGGATGTTCTCGGATTCTGGCTTCCGAATGAGGAAGAAGAGAACGGTCCCCAGCAGGCTGATCACCGTCAGGGCGATGAACACTGTCCTCCGGTCACTCTCTGGGGGAAGGAGGAGAAGAAAGCAGACGTCTCGGGCCTGTTTCTAACCACCGAGACACTTCCGCATTCAACTTGTACTTTATTGCATCAGTAACACGGGCATCTCCACCTTTGCTTTTTCAGTTACAGAAATACTAATAAGCAAAAAAAAAAAAGTACAAGAACTTAATCGGATCCTTTGAATCAAAGAAGCATATAGACAAAACAATTAAGAATTCAAAAGTCTGACAACTGACACATATGGACACTCACAGCATAACCCCCTCCCACACCTGCAGATGCCACTCGCAGCCGTTAGCTATAATCCCAGCGTAATAACATAATCCCAGGGGAAAAGTCACCGAAAGCTAAAGTCTGAGAGGCCTCAGGTACCACGGTCCATCAGAACAATTCTGAACAAAGCAGCCCTGGGCAATTTTGTGAAACTGCCATGATGTTTTGCACATATCTGAATAAAGCAAAATGAGTAAAACAAACCTGATATTTGAGTTTTCCCTTGCCAAGCAAAATATATGTAGAGGTTTCCAAAGAACAAGCTGGGGTTAAAAAAAAAAGGAAGGAAAGAATGTTGGAAAATTATTTTCATATGTCTAGCCTTTTAAACCATGTTCCCATTACTTGTTAAAAAGAGAGAAAGCAGAAAGCGTCCATAATTGTAAAAGCATCTACCTGCCCGAGATCCTCTGAAAGCGTCCACCCCACCCTGACTCTGAAAAACTCAACTGACCCAGATGGAGCTGGGCCCCGCTTCACCGGCCGGCACCTGACTCAGCACCGCCTCCGAGAGGTCCTGACTCACACGAAGGCATGTGATTGCTTGTTGGCACTCCGGACCCGACTCAGTCTGACTTCTGAATTTAAATACGTCTTTGTTAAGAGCTACCTGCCAGTGTAGCTTGGTCGGAAGGACGTGGCCTTTGGAGTCCAGAGAATGATGGTTTGAACCAGATCAGTTACTTAACTTTGCAGCCTGTTTTCTCACCCGTGTGTTATCTCCTGAGGTTTATTAAAGTTAAGTAAGATCCCCATAGTCCCTGAAGGATAGCCAACGCTAAACATATTAGGGTTAATATCCGTTTCTATTTGCTAACCAAGACTTCCAATGCATTTGGAGTAATTCTATAAACTTTTTTCACCCGTGTGCAGCTAGGAACTTAAGCCACACAACGTGGGAAAATCTGCGTTTTCGACACAACAAAGCCCTCCCACTATGTGACGAGAAACGCCAGGGAAGGCTGGGCTCCGAAGGACTGTTACCTAGACTGCAAGAGCGCCCAGAAGATGCCACTGTTCCTCCCAATAGTCTGCTCATCGGAATTGATGGTCAGGCAGTTCCCCTGGGCCGTCCACAGCACTACAATAAAGCCAAACGGTTACGGGGCGTGAAACCGCGCGGCTTCAATGCTACTCTCAGGTGAGCCCCGGGACACGAGGAAGACAGACACCCCAATGCTCACCCGCAGCTGCCACGCCGAGGAAAACAGAGGCTGTGTAGAAGGACCACGTGAAAGGCTGGATAAAAACGGCAATGTACATGCTAAAATATAACAGGTCAACGGATTACGTCAAACCACACCTGACACCGGACGCCATTGTGCCTTCTAGGAGTCAGTTCTGAGGGTCCTCTTTTAAAATGCAACCGGTAGCCCGGCCGGCGTGGCTCAGTGGTTGAGCGTCAACCTATGAACCAGGAGGTCACGGGTTCGATGCCTGGTCAGGGCACAGGCCTAGGGTGACGGGCTCCATCCCCAGTGGGGGGCGTGCAGAGGGCAGCCGATCAGTGATTCTTTCTCATCATTGACGTTTCTCTCTCTCACTCCCTCTCCTTTCCTCTCTAAAAATCAATAAAAACATAGTTTAAAAAATTAAATTCAACCTGTAAAGGACTCCTCCAGTGCTGAAAACAAAACAATAAAAAGGGACAGATGTGACCTACTCATTTCTTAATTTACTGGCTCAAATGCGTAAAATCAGACCCTGAATGATGGTGTGCAGTTGGTTTTTGCCGACTGCGTAACCCGCGATGGGACTGTAGCTCCACAGCCCATAGGAAAGTTTGGTTCTTTCATTTAAACTCCTGTTAATCAACTTGATATCAAATAAGCTTATTTCACGGGGAATTCTTTTCCACTCTTGTGGAAAGAGATTTTTGAATGCTATTTTCATTAAGAGTAAAACAAAAGCAAGTACACACATGACCAATCACATTAAAACAATGTGGTAACCCTGGGCACAAAGAAGACAGCCAGATCCCTAAAACATCGTCTTCATCTATTCTATTCAACCCACAGCCGCAGGTTCCTGTTACAAGTTCGCTATGTGCCTGAGGGACGCTGACGGTGCTCTCAGTAAAATGAAAGGAAGAAAAGTACCCGACTCACCTGTAAAACAGTCCACTAGCGAACATGGAGAGTTGAGGTCCTACGATGGCAACCACGGATGGTGTGATCAAATTGGAAGCGGAGAACACGCCATAAATAATCGCCATGCTGGACACAGAACACACAAAAACAAAACAACGCCAAGCTGTCTTAAAGTTCACTTTTCAAGTTTACTTAGTCTACAGGCGTTTTGCAATAAACATTTCTATTCTCTAGGCGGCGTGTACAAGTATATCCTTAAACTGAAGGCCATATTAAAGTTTGCACGTGCACAAAATACTGAAGCCTCATCCGATGTTCCTTTGAGTAAGTGTGCCCTGGACGATATGGTTTTCGATGTCCTGGTAAATTATAACAACAGCGAACACATCACACGGAACAGGCACTAGGCCAACTCCCTTCTACATGTTTTTGCTCTCAATCCTAACAGCTCTGGGAAGAAGGTATTGCTAACGTCCTCATTTTACAGAGAAGAAAACTGAAGCACAGAAGGGCTAAGTGACCTGTCCAGCGTCCGCGTGGGTGCCTGGTGACCGGAGGAGCCCAGATCCCGTACCTGGTCATGTGACTCCCGAGGCCCCAGTCAACCAGTCTGCTCTGCAGACTGGCAAGTGCGTGTGGCCTCGCTGCTATAAATAACAGGCCGAGTCCTTAAGCCAGAGTCCATGTAGCTCAACCTAAGTGTCTCATTGAACACTGTTCAGCTACCAGAGACCCAGCCTTACCTAGTACGCATATCTTGGGACAAAGTGTGACTAAAACCATTTCAAAGGCCCTGAATTTATTTACTACTTATAAACCCACAGTAAATTATCCTTTGGCTTTTATGAATCTCTCAACTATCAAATGTCCTTTCCCTTGTTCTGTAGAATACGCGTGAATACAAAGCACTACAAAACGTTGTGGGAATCCTTTAGAAAAAATGGGCGTAAATATCCCTTTCCTCTCATATGTCATATACAAGGTCAGGCTTAGGATAGGTGATAACCAAATAAGACGGGGTGGGGGTGGGGCGAGACGCCCCTCAAGACTGGTATTGGCCACAACCTGATACCTAAGGATGGAGAAATGGGGAAACCCGTCTGGGCGTGGCTACATGCGCATGTTACGTTCCCAGCTCCAGGCACAGTGTACTGGGGACTTATGCAGGTCTTTCCACTTCATTTTCACCGAGTGCAAAACTGGGCCTCAACGCCTTCATAAAAACCTAAAAGCTCCTGATGACAGACAGCCTATGCATCCTCACGAAATTGCAAAAGCAGGAAGACCAAGTGTTTCAAGAGTCCTATAAAACGGCCTCTGCTGTAAGACGGGGAAGATGTAACACGACAAGACTGGAGTGCCCATTAAATGCCAGGTCCTGCGCCAAGCGCTTCGCAGGCGTTGGCTGAGCCAGGAAACCCGACTCCACCAAGCAACTTGCCTAAGACAATGCAGCAGTTCAGCCAGGAAGCCAGGAGTTCAAACCTGGTGTCTAATCCTACAGGAAACCTGAACTCATCACCTCTGTTCAAGGGTGTTCTCCCAAAAGTCTAGATCCAGGGAAGAAAAACGCAGTCACTACTAACTCACTCACGGTCCTTAGTGCCCGTGGTTTTGATGTGGATTTAAGCAGAGCCCCCCCGCCCCCCGGGACGTGTGACGTAAAACCACTGGCACAGAACCATACCTGGTGTAGCCACTGCCGTGGAAGTCGGTGCTGTTTAAACTCCTGATGACAGTTTGCTGTGTGGAAGACAAAACTAATGAACAAAACGAACGTTTTTGCAACCCCGCTCTCCCCTGGAAAGTCTCCGAGTACTGGGAATAAAGTAAAAATGGGAGATGCTCAATACTGAGCACTGAAAGTGACTGAGAGAAGAAAAAGGATTACAGAACAGCAGATAAACCAACGGCAGGGAAGCGCGCGGGGCAGGGGAGGGGACCTGCGGGCACCATGCCTGAACTCTCCACGTACGATGCAGACCTGAACACAGACAAGTACAATAAACAGGTCAACAGACACACCCAAGTCAAATCAGAGAAACCAACGGCCATGCTGCCCATCCCCATACGTTCGGGAGAAATGTCTGATGCATGAAACCAATCCTCATCGTTAAGAAACAACGAGGAAGGCTGAGAAAATGACAGGCGCGGTTTAAGCGCGCGCTCAGCTGCGATGAACGCGTATCGTCATTTCTAGGAGGCACTTGTTCAAAGGAGGGACCGCAGACCCCAACTCACCGCCACATTTCCACAAGTTTGAAAGGCGGTGAACATAAACATAAAGGCAACTCCTAAAACGACGATGTTGAAAAGCTTTTTAGATTCCGGGGACATTTTGGCTCCACCCTGCCGCAGGTCCGCCGCGGCAGCGGCCCAGGGCAGTCAGCTGTCCTCGGGGCGAACCCACTGCCACGCCTGGGGGACGGAGAGGCGGTCAGAGGAGGCAGGTCCGGAGCAAGGCAGCCAGGCGGCCCCCTTCCAGTTCGCGCATCCGAGTCCCGGGCGTAGGGTGAAGCTCTCCCCCGGGCACCGTTAGGACATTCCTAGGGCGCGACGCGAGGAGGGAAGAGCCCAACACCCGGCGAAGCGCCAAGAAGGCTGTCGCCCCGGGTGGAGGGGCCCGCCGGGGGATTAGGAGCCAAGGACGAGCAGCAGAGCCGGCTCGGCCCCGCCCGCCCGCCGGGCCCTGACTCAGTGGAGGTCAGGCGACCGGGTCACCTGACCGCAGCCGTGGCGCCGGCCGCTCAGCCCGCTGGGAAATGTAGTCCCGGGCCGCCCGGGACTGGCAGGCGCCTCGCGAGACCTCCTTGCCCCCAAAGGGAGCGGGGTCGGCCCCGCGGTGTCCGGCTAAGGCGGGGCTGAAAGCGGAACCCAGCGGAAGGGCGGAGAATTGCGGGAGGGGATCTGGGACCACATAGGGGGGGTCTGGGGCAGCTGGGGACACAGAGACGCAAATGAGGGAAGGAGTAGGCCCTCCGACAGAAGCGGGGCCGAGGCCTAAGCCGGAAAGCGGCGTGGAACTCGGATACTGGCACGGAAAAGAAGGCGGAGCCCCGGAGGGGAGCACCTCCTCTTCCTCCTGCCTAGGAGCGCCCCGCCGGAAGAAGCGTTTCGCGGGCTTTCCAACTGCCGGCCGAAGCCACTCCCCCCTCCCAGCTGCAGTGACTCCGCGCTTTTCCGGGCTCTGCGCAGGCGCGCCGGGCAGGGCCGGCGCACGCGGCAGGGACGTTGCGGGACCAGCCAATCAGAAGGCTCATTTCTGGGTGGCGCGGGCGCCATTTTGTGAGGGGGAATATAAATGGGCACTGGGGCCAGATACTCGCCCAGTTTCTTCGGTGCTGCGGTTGGGGTCGTTCAGTCCGTCTGTCGGCGTCTCAGAAACCATTCCACGCGGAAGCCTGTTGCCGGAGGAGAGGCGCGGCGTGGAGCCGAGCTAGTCGGAGGAAGCCGCCGCCGCCCCAGCGGAACGCGCGGGCCCGCCCAGGGCGTTCGTTTCTCGGCGCGCAGTCGCAGGGCCCGGCCGACGCTCCAGGGCCATGAGTTACGGCCGCCCGCCTCCCGATGTGGAGGGCATGACCTCCCTCAAGGTGGACAACCTGACCTACCGTACCTCGCCCGACACCCTGAGGCGCGTCTTCGAGAAGTACGGTCGCGTCGGCGACGTATACATCCCGCGGGACCGCTACACTAAGGAATCCCGCGGCTTCGCCTTCGTCCGCTTCCACGACAAGCGTGACGCCGAAGACGCCATGGACGCCATGGATGGGGCCGTGCTGGACGGCCGCGAGCTGCGCGTGCAGATGGCGCGCTACGGCCGACCCCCGGACTCGCACCACAGCCGCCGGGGACCGCCACCCCGCAGATATGGGGGTGGTGGCTACGGGCGCCGGAGCCGCAGGTAAGCGGGGAGGGGCCCCGGGCTGACTCACAAAGGTCCGTGGGGGCACGTGGTGGCGGGCGGCCCCGGGCCTGGGCGACCCCGACTCGCGACCGGGAAATGGCGGCGGCGGCGAGATAATGGCGGGCGGGCGGGGCGCGGCCGGATCGCGGGACCTGACGCGCCTCTCGCTTCCGCCCGCAGCCCCAGGCGGCGCCGCCGCAGCCGATCCCGGAGTCGGAGCCGGTCCCGGTCCCGCAGTCGATCTCGCTACAGCCGCTCCAAGTCTCGGTCTCGCACTCGCTCGCGATCGCGGTCCACGTCCAAGTCCAGGTCGGCGCGAAGATCCAAGTCCAAGTCATCGTCCGTGTCCAGATCTCGCTCACGGTCCCGGTCCCGGTCCCGGTCCAGGAGTCCCCCGCCCGTGTCCAAGAGGGAGTCCAAGTCCAGGTCGCGGTCCAAGAGCCCCCCCAAGTCTCCTGAAGAGGAGGGAGCCGTGTCCTCTTAGGCAAACGGTAATGCCCGCGGGGCCCCGGCGCACGGCCCGGCTCGGCGGGGGGAGCTGCGGTGGGGTCTGCAGGAAGGATGTGTGTGAGCAGGTGGTAGTGGCTGTGTCGGAAACTGTTTGAGACCTATTGATGAAAATGACTATTTCTTGCTGTTTTTATCCAACGTCTGCATTTTCCCCTTTAAAGCTGCGGTCTCCTGTTTGATAAAAGAATATTGGCCAGTATTGCAGATTTTAACTGATTTGGCTGATCCTCCAGGGACCAGTTTCTGTGGGCGTGTGTTGGAGCAGGTTTGTCTTTAAATGTTAAAGATGCACTATCCTCCTAGAGGAGGCACTCGGCTCGACTCTTGTTGTGCCGACTGGGTCGCTGTCCTAGTGGATGTGGCAAACGCACTGCAAAAAGCAGCGTGTCCAGGTACTGCGCGGGGTGGGGAAAGGATAGTGTGTCTTTAACTCAAATTGTTTGGTCCTGTTTTTTAAGGAAGGGCCCTGAGTAGCTCAGACATGAAAGCCTTATTCTCGATTGCCAAACGTTTCGTTTAAAAACCAAATTTATCCTGAAATATAGGTTACTTTTCTGATTTCAAGTTTTGTTTGGATACAGCCCCCCTTTTTTCCCCTTTTCCTTTTCTCCCCCTCCCCCCCCCCCCTTAACGATTTTTCACCTTGGTTATTTGGCCGAGCACGCACAAATTTGTAAATGCTGATGTGAAATTTTCCTAATTTGGGCCTTAAACATTTGTGAGAACGGCCGGGTGGAACCTTTCTGTAACCTCCTTGTTTCACCAGAGCCTTAGACGGCACATGCCGAGTACATGCCCGAAATTGAAACCATGTGCACTTTGGGCGGCTTCACGGTGACGGGAGGGAAGCTGAACTTAATTTCTTTTCAAACCTAGATGTGTCGACAAGCAACATAACAGAAACGAGGAGGAAAAGGACCCCATGCTCAGTCCGTCAGTCCTTGGAACAAGCACCTGGCTATTGAAAGGTTATTTGTGACATTTTGTCTAACTTTTTACTTTTAAGCTTTGCCTCAGGCGGCAAGCTGCATTTTATGTGCCATTTTGTTGCTGTTATTCAAATTTCTTGTAATTTAGTAAGGTGAACGACTTCAGATTTCATTATTGGCTTGGATATTTGAGGTAAAATTTCCTTTTTGTTTATATAGTGCTGACTTTTTTTGTTTGAAATTAAACAGATTGGTAACCTAATTTGTGGCCTCCTGACTTTTAAGGAAACTTAAGGAAACGTGCAGCCATTACACACACACAGCCTAAAGCTGTCAAGAGATTGACTCAGCATTGCCTTCATTCCTTAGAATTAAAAACCTACAAAAGTTGGTGTAAATTTGTGCATGTTATTTACCTTCAGATCTAAATGGTAATCTGAACCTAAACTCGTATAAAGACTTTTCAGGTGAAAAGACTTGATTTTTTTTGAAAGGATTGTTTACCAAACACAATTCTAATCTCTTCTCTTGTGTATTTTTGTGCACTAGGCGCAGTTGTGTAGCAGTTGAGTAATGCTGGTTAGCTGTTAAGGTGGCGTGTTGCAGTGCAGAGTGCTTGGCTGTTTCCTGTTTTCTCCCGATTGCTCCTGTGTAAAGATGCCTTGTCGTGCAGAAACAAATGGCTGTCCAGTTTATTAAAATGCCTGACAACTGCACTTCCAGTCACCCGGGCCTTGCATATAGATAACGGAGCATACAGTGAGCACATCTAGCTGATGAATAATACACCCTTTTTTTTTTTTCTACTCCACTCCACCAAATGGTAAAAATGATCATCTTCATGTATGAACTTAAAATTTGAAAAATGTTAAGGAAGCAAATGGTCTGTAACTTTGTAAGTACTTAAAACATGGTGTATCTTTTTTGCTCATAAATATTCTGTACTATAACCATTGTTTCTATAGTTTAATTAAAAATGTTTTCTTGGTGTTAGCTTTTCTCAGAATATGTCTCGGCCTTTTTTCCTCTTTGTTTGAAAGACCTGTGCAATTTTCTTGTGAATGTTACCAATTACATAGTATGAAAGTGAAATGCTTAGTTGACTTTTGATGGAAAATGCCAGTTCACATCAACTATCCCTAAAAGTGATGCTCTATGGCAGCACACGGAGGTGTGGCTACTCCTTTCTCATGACCTAATTGATGCCCTATTTTAATGACTTAGGAACAACGTGAGTCCTTAATAGGTGTTTTAATTTTTGTTTCCATGGCTGTGTATCCCACAAGTACTGGCTAGTAGACACATCACAGTCTTAAGGCCAATAGATCTGACCATCTTGAAACCCATGGCTTGTACTCTCAGGCTGAAGTGGTCTGGATCCTAATGGGCATGCCAAGTTGCTAATCGGTGTCAACATTGTCCCAAAACAGCTTGTAGGTGTAATTCAGAGACTGTCCTTTGCAAAGGAGATAACCAGCATTTCAACAGTGTGTCTTCCTGGAAGGGCAGATTCTGCTATGTCTTCCTTGTCTGCATCAAAAGACACCAGCGGAATGTGGACACATTTCATATCCCACTTGTAGATCAAAGCTTCAAGTGACCAGTCAGCACTGAAAAATAAACTCTAAAATTATTTTCCTGCTTTGCTTCAGATGTTTTTTTATGTTATCCTTTGGCGTTGGTTACTAAGGCTTAATTTAACTTAATAAAAATTGAATAAGCCAGGATTAGTTGGGCTTACCTTCTTACCTGGTAAGTAGACCACAATTGGACCTTGGGGTTCTTCTGCATCAGAAAGTATACTGTAGTTAAAATGTCTTCAAAGTCTAGGAAGGAAGGGCTTATTAATACAGACTTACTACTTGCATTGTATCTCTGGCCAAATTGGCTATTAGGCAAAAAAAAAAAAAATGTACCTTCTGGTTCAAAGAACACATCAGCTGCAAGAATAATATCTTGGGGTGGCAGAGCCAGAAGGTCCAGAGAGAGGTGACCCCATGTCAGTCCCACAACACGCACCTGCGGCAGGTTGTTCATTTGGCAGCTCTGCCGACAGACTTCCAGGCAGTGAGGCAACTCTGAGCTGTCAGACAGTGTCACCTCAGCGCCACATTTTGCAGCTATAATTCCTGGAAGGCTCACTCCAGCTCCAATCTAGTACGTTTAAAAGATGACATTTGAAAGTTTGTCTACAACTACAAAGAATTTGGATCTTAGTTCCCATTTCATCCTTGTGAGCAGTGTGTTTTTGAGCTTATGTCTATAAAACATGCCATGATTAAAGCGCTGCCTTAACCTGTAGGAACCCTGGGCTTTGAATTTGGCAAAAGCCTGTCTGATTCCTCTTAATTGGGTCAAAGTGCAGTTATAATCTCATACAGGGCCCTCCCTGTATTCTGCAATTGACCTAGTGCTTCCAAACTCCATGTGTGTCAGGCCGTTTCATTGCTTAACATGCCCAGAGAAGTGGTCTTGGGGAACTTGCTCTGTCATTTTCAGTTTTCATGAGTTAATTGTAGGGCGTGCTGCCTCTAGAAGCTCCAGGGGGGCTACATGCACAGCCAGCTACTGATTTTAATTGTTTTTATGTGATAAAGCCTGACAGGTCTAGAACATGGCTTTGTACAAAAGGATTTTTCCATTTGGTTTAAAGTGACAAGGCATTTTAAACAATGAGTAATGCCAAGGACTGCTTTTGCATTCCAACTGATTGAAATAAAAGCTTCCCATTTCCAGTCTGAGGATGGGCGTGTTAGAGCCCAAATGACCCTGCTGGGACACCCTAGGAAGATGGCCTTGACTGCTTCCCTGCCCAATTAGTCACTTTGCTTCATGCAGTAAGGGCCAGACAGTAAGGATTTTAGTCTTGGTGGCCACATTCTTTTAAACACCATCTTACAAATGTAAAACTCATCCTTAACTCGCATGCCTTAAAAGCTGGCCAAGTTACCCCGATTTTAAAATGCTAGGGCAAAAGTAGGTTGACAGTATGGAAAATAATACAAGAATAAACTTTCCATGCAGCTGTAAACCTACTTTGCCACACCCTGTATTGAACAAAAGCCCAAATAACAAGCATGTAGACGTCAATCTAAACTGTGTTTGAGACCTCAAGGGCACATTGTACCTCTAAGATAGCCTTGCCTGGTAGAGATCTTCGGTGAAACCACAGGTACTGGGCCAGGACTACAGCACAGGGCCAGACGTACATTCCGTACTGAAGATGCAGGACCTGGAAAGAATTTTTGTACAAAATACAGCAATTACTGAGTGCCTGACTGGCATCCATTACAGAAATGACATTTCCCTGCTCTCCAATTCACATCCTACGGGGCGGAGGGGGAGTATATATAAAACTGCTATACCATGTGGTAAGCACTCTTCATTCAACAAGCATTTATTCATTTATAGCTTAACTATTCAGGGCTGAGAATGTCATTCTCATGAAGCATATATACCCTACTAGGGAGAGACAGGCAGCAAGTAAGCAAAGATTCTTGGTTCATGATAATGCTATAAGCACAATACATAAAGGGGGTGATGTGAGAGTAATGGGGGGGTGGGGGGCAATGACCACAAGGTGGCTGCACTAGATAGGGAGAGAGGGTGATTCAAAGGCCCTGAAGCAGGAACTAAAGGCTCTTGCTGGACAACAGCACAGACGGAGGGGTTGGAGGCAGGGTTTTGTAGTGCAAGCAGAGGCCACAGGAAGTATAGCTTTATTTATTTTTTAATGCAAGAAGATATCAGAGGGCTTTAAGCACAGGCATAACCTGGTGTGCTAATGGGAAACTGGAGGCCCAGGAAGACATCCTTGAAGAGGTCTGAGTGGCCATGAGTCTCTGAATAAACGCTTGTTGAATGAACAAATGTCTGCAGAGTGCTTGCCACACGGTGTAGCAGTTTTACATCCCCTCGAAGGAGCTGGGAAGGCCGGCAACTTACAAAGCCTTTGAAAAAGCAGAGAACTGCGAGAGCGTAGTATTTCGTGAGGCAAGAACAGCTCACAGCTCTGCAATGAGTGCCCGAGTTCCACTCCAGATCTGCTTTACCAGCTGTGTGACCTCACTCACGTTACTACGTCTGTGCTCGGGTTCCGCAATTACAAAATACTATCTCACTGCGTTAACAGGAAAACTCAATGCCAGCTACTTAGTGCCAGGCACCAAGCAAGCACACAAAGGTAGCTACCATTAAACCTACAGTTAGCTATCGTTAAACCCACTGCAACACGCAGGTCTGTTTTCTAGAGCAAAGGGTGCCTCTAGGGGGGTGGTAGAAAGGGGGCTGAAGTTGTAAAAGTAACAGGTGAAGGAACTAAGGCCTGAACCTAATCCACTCAACAAACATGAGTGCCTAAGATATGCTAGATCCTGTTCTACCTGTAAGGGTGCAGTGTGAATAAAAGAGCAAAACTGCCTGCCCTGGTAGATTTTACCCAGGAGGACAATGGGGGATTTCTGGCCAGAGTTGTGCAGATTTGGGTGTAAAGAAAAGGGGCTCTGCCCTGGTCAGGGTTGCTCAGTGGATAGAGCGTTGGCCTGAAGACTGAAGGGTCTTGGGTTCGATTCCGGTCAAGAGCACATGCCCAGGTTTCAGGCTCAATCCCCAGTAGGGAGCGTGCAGGAGGTAGCCGATCAATGATTCTCTCTCATCACTGATGTTTCTATCTCTCCCTTTCCCTTCCTCTCTGAAATCAATAAAAATCTATTTTAAAAGAAAAGAAAAAGGGCCTCCATTTTCACAGGGAAAATCTTCTTAAAATTGGGAAGAAATCCAAGTGGGTATTTCAACGTGAAGGCATTAGCAACTGTCAGAAATGGGCTCCACGTAAGCTGTGTTTCCTCTGGAAAGTGTTACATGGCACAGGCTGCTGTTAGAAACCAAATGAAAGACGGCAACGTGAAAATGCTTTGAAAAACCTGACGTACAATTACTGAGTTTGGGGACATTCGAGAGCTGAAAGGAAATGACTGTCAACCCCGAAACTTTACTTGATCAGTGAGGGTTGGAGCTCCCGTTCCCAGAGGAAGCTTAATTTAAGAAGCCCTTCAACAAGATCAAAGAAAACATTAGGTGGTAAAAATGCCATTTTTTTTCTGGCAGGAAACAGTCGGAGTGGATTAGCTCCCTCCCGGCAGAGTCCCCCGATTCCTTACTGAAAGACGTCACATGCCAAAGGCTTCACCCCAGGCCTCGCGCTCTCTGGTCCACCCTAAGGCAGGAGGCCGGACCCCGCTCCCCCACACCCCTCTCTGCCTCTCCTCCCGGTGGACTGAGAACCGCTAAGCCAGGGCGCAAGGGCCGGAAGGCCTTCGGGCGGGTGCCGCTGCACGCACCTGCGGGACGCGGACCTCCAGCATGGCCCCCTCCGCTCCCAGGCCCGGCTCCTCCGAGAACCGAAAGCGCTGGGCCCGGAACACATGCCCTCGGAGGTCACGGCCGCCCAGTGAAGAGCCGGTGGCTCCCGGGAGGGCCGGCAGCAGCGGGGGCCGCCGGGCCGCCAGGCTGCGCACGCGGGGCCCCGGGGCCGGCTGGGCCGCTTCCCCGAAGCCACGCGGGCCCGGCGGGCCCCTAAAACCTTAAGCAAGACGGGGCAGCACCCCTCCGGCGGCGGGGCGGCAGCACGGAGGGCAGACCCGGAACCAGGCCACCGGGACACAGACAGGAGGCCCGCGCGGCCCGCCAGCGGAAGTCGGCTGCAGACAGGCGGCGCTGCCGGAAGTGACGCGCCGGAAGCCGGCCGCGGGGGCGGTGCCTCGGCAGCCCCGACCTTCCCAACATGGCAGAGACCCGGCGTCTGTGAAGGAGGGTCCTGCGGGCGCCGAGGCCAATGGCGGGCCGCGAGCGGCCGGGGGGCGGGGAAGACGGCAGCCGCACGCCCAACCCGCGGCCCGGGAGGTGGTTGGGGAGTGAATCTTCTGGAAGGCGACCTTAAAGGCGCCGGGCCGAGCGAAGGGCGTTGCAGTGCGGCTGTCGCCGGGGCCGGGAAGGGGCGCGTTGGTGGCAGGAGGCGGGCTGCGCGGCGGTCGTGGCGGAACTCGCTGGTGACCCTCGCAGGATGAACCACAAGAGCAAGAAGCGGATCCGCGAGGCCAAGCGGAGTGCACGCCCGGAGCTGAAGGACTCGCTGGACTGGACCCGGCACAATTACTACGAGAGCTTCTCGCTGAGCCCGGCGGCCGTGGCGGTGAGCGCGCGGGCATCGCGGGCCGGGCCCGGGGGCTCCGAGCGGCCGCACACCTTTCCCCGGGGCCGGGAGGGCCTTCTTCCTCCCCTGCCCGGGTCGCTGCACCCTCACGGCTCTGGCGCCCGCAAAGGAAAGGCCTGTGGCTCCTCGATCCTCTTGGACGGCGGGACCCGCGGGGACCCGGCTGTCCCAGGCCCCAAGTGGGAGATGCGAAGCCGCCCTTGGTGCCGTGGCTCTGGGTGCGTCGTAGCGGCACGCGCGCAGGTCCTCCCCCCACCCCCACCCCCGTGGAAGCCAGAACAAAAACCTGGCTCCTTAGGAATGTCACTGCTGGTTGGCCCTGGGGGCACCTTCAGTTGCCTGGTTTTTTAAAACTGGGTAGGTCCTCTCTGCTTCCCTCAGGATAACGTGGAGAGGGCGGACGCCCTACAGCTCTCGGTGGAAGACTTTGTGGAGCGATACGAAAGGCCTTACAAGCCCGTGGTTCTGCTGAACGCCCAGGAGGGCTGGTCCGCGCAGGAGAAATGGACGCTGGAGCGCCTGAAGAGGAAGTACCGCAACCAGAAGTTCAAGTGCGGGGAGGACAATGACGGCTACTCGGTGAAGATGAAGATGAAGTACTACATCGAGTACATGGAGAGCACGCGGGACGACAGCCCCCTGTACATCTTCGACAGCAGCTACGGCGAACATCCCAAAAGAAGGAAACTTCTGGAAGACTACAAGGTGCCCAAGTTCTTCACCGATGACCTTTTCCAGTACGCAGGGGAGAAGCGCAGGCCCCCTTACAGGTACAGCCCCCCCCCCCCCCCTTACAAAGCAGTGAGTGGTTTCCCCTTGGCTGCACCTGGGACTGGCTTTGGGGGCTCCTGACGCCCGGCGGGGTCCAGAGGCTCTGGTTGAATTGGTCTGGGTGCCGCCTGGGCCTCGGGAGTTCTGGAAGCTCCCCAGGTGACTCAAACGGGCGAGCGAAGGCAAATCGCTGAGCTGTGAGGGAAGTTGTAAGTCCAGCGCTAAGCCGCGTTAGTGGTTTTCCTTTTTTCTGTTGGTGATCAGTCCACCCACAATTCACTCAGCGTTTCTAGGTTCCAAAATTTGTGTAGTCTTTGCAGCAAAGATGACACAGTGTAGTGTGTGCCTGCAAGCTTGTTGTTTTGTGGGATGTGTGTGGGGGGGGGGTGTGTGGTTAAATTGCTCTTCACTTCTTGGATGCTTCTGTCCTGTAGGTGGTTTGTGATGGGGCCCCCACGCTCCGGAACCGGAATTCACATCGACCCTCTGGGAACCAGCGCCTGGAATGCCTTGGTGCAGGGCCACAAGCGCTGGTGCCTGTTCCCCACCAGCACGCCCCGGGAGCTCATCAAGGTGACCCGCGACGAAGGAGGGAACCAGCAGGATGAAGCTATCACCTGGTTTAAGATCATCTACCCCCGGACACAGCTGCCAACCTGGCCACCCGAATTCAAGCCCCTGGAAATCTTGCAGAAGCCGGGAGAGACTGTCTTTGTGCCAGGTACAGATGAACTGGAGCAAGTGCTCTCTGCGCGTAGTGATCTGTCCTTTTGGAGCAGAACTGCACAGAGAGTGAGTGAGTCCAGGAAACCCCTGCAGCCGACTACAGAGCTGCCTGCCCACCTCTGACAGCGAAATGCTGCTCTGTTGTCGGGTGCTGGGGGCCTGCTGTCCACTGTCACCTCGATACATGACTTGGTCACCTTTCTGCGTTTCGGATCCCACTCGTTTTTACCCTTAGTTTCACTAATGTCTTACGTATGTTCTGTGACTTGTGCACATTTCTGTAACTTGGGGCTTGATACGGTGTCGTACTGGGTGGGCTCAGCCAGGAGGTAGTGGTTTAGAGCCTAGAGGCAGGAAGCAGTTCCATACCTGATGCCTCTGACAGGTTAAGAGTTGGGAACAAAGGCATTTCAGGTGGACGTCCTCCTCCTGAGGCTGGAGAGCGTGCTGCCTTCACAGTGGGTCACAGCTGTGAGTGAGCAGGAGAGAACACGCTTTCTCTATAAAGGCCCAGAGAGTGAGCACGTCAGCACTGGCCAGACGGCCTGTGTCGCTGTTGCTCAGCTCTGCCCTCGTAGCAGGGAAGCAGCCATGGCAATCCAGAGTGAGTGGGCACAGCCATGGCCCAGTAAAACTTAGCGCAGGTCGCCCTGCACCGTCTCGGAGGCCCCGCTGGTGGGAGCAACCCGCTTCTGCAGTTCACGTTCAATGTTGTATACTGTTGATGTTCTAGAGCGATTGGGCACAGAACCTGGCCCTACGTAACCGTTCACTTGTTGGCTTTCAGGAGGCTGGTGGCACGTTGTCCTCAATCTTGACACCACCATTGCCATCACCCAGAATTTTGCCAGCAGCACCAACTTCCCTGTTGTATGGCACAAGACGGTAAGAGGGAGACCAAAGTTGTCCAGGAAATGGTATAGGTGAGAGCCATTTTTTTCTTATTTGTGCTTTATTCCAATTTCTACCGGAGAGAAATGGAAAGAGCCCGCCGTTGCGATGCCAGGGGCTGAACTTAGGCCTGGCAGAAGCTGGGGCTGATGAGTGCGCAGGTGCAGGGAGAGGGTCAAGGTCAGGGCTAACTCTCAGGATGCTCCAGCCTCCAGGTAGCAGGTAGCCCCGCACTGTTGATCAGAGCGTCAAACACTCGCGTAGTCGGGGTCATTTCCCCTTTTGTTGTTTTTTTTTGTTTTTCCCCCAGAGCTTGCACAAGCAAAGGAAGCCATTTTGGGGGGGTTTATTTTGCTTGTTTCTTTTTCTTACCCAGAAGCATTATTCCCGTTTGAACTTACTCCCTTCGGTCTTAGGAGTGAGGTCGCTGCCCTGGAGACTTAGCTCCTCTGTTTATCCACAGAACAGATACAGCACGGGCAGCGGCACTGCAAGCCACCCCCAGCCACCCCGTGCCACTGTGTCCCAACCCTGACCTGGAGGGACCAGCTCTCGGGGTAAGAGGGATTCTGGCTTGTTCAGGGCTCAGCCCCTGCCGAGAGGGCCAGCAAGGGTGGTGGCTTCGTTCTCCCCAACTCCAGGCACCTGAGGCCCGTCGCCCTCCGCAGGCTGCCGTGTGCTCCATGGGCCGCTCTGTAGGCCTTCCTCCGCAGGGCTTGTCCCTGTCACGGGAGATGTAGATGCCACGTTAGGTCCCGAGGGGGGGCTGCTGCCTCCGATGGCCCAGTTCCGTTTTACCCTCGATGCTTCTCACAGACCTGATGGTTTCTACTCTCACCAATAGAATTTCATTGTCAGTGCGACTCCGATCATAGTGCAGTGCTGTGCTGTGGAAAGGGGGGTTCAAACAATCAGCCAGGAAAAGCGCAGGGAAAGTGAGGGAGAGAGACTTACTCCCAAGGAGAAAAAACCAAGTCAGGGGACGTGGCCGCGAGGTGGCAGTGCGCCGGCCCGTGGCGCTGGTGGCGGGAGCATGTGGAGCTCAGGTTGCTTCCGGAAGAGCCTGAGTGTGTGGGCTCCGGCTCCCAGCCTGTGGACTGTGTCCCCGCCACACGACAGCCCAGCTCCCAACAGGCACCTGCCGTTCGCCGGCGCCTCTCAGCCAGGTCTGGGCCGCAGCCTGGGAGCTGGCCTGTGGCTGTCCGTGCCTGTCCCGCCACTGAGAACGCACTTCCTGTCTCCCAGGATCCTGAAGCAGGAGCACCCCGAGCTGGCGGTCCTGGCTGACTCGGTTGACCTTCAGGAATCCACAGGGATCGCCTCCGACAGCTCCAGCGACTCCTCCAGCTCCTCCAGCTCCAGCTCTTCGGACTCGGACTCGGAGGTGAGCCCCGCTCGCCGCCAGGCCTCCAGGGCAGGTCCCGCGGAAACCAGCCGTGACTCCCTCCGCCCAGGCAGGAGGGAGAAAGATGGGGAGCTTTTCGCTTTCGGGAACCACCATTGCTTCATCCTGCCACGGAAGGGCTTTGCCCAGCTCACAGCTCTGTGTGCACCAGCCTCAGGTTAGAGGAGAGCTTGCCAGTCCAGTGAGGAAAGGCCAGGACCTCACGCTGGCAGACAGCGGGCCGGAAATTCAGGCCCCAAGCATTCCGACCTCAAGGTCCAGGTTCAGATTTTCCCTCTGGGTGGTGCATTGTGAGCCTAGGAACCCAGCAAATTCAGTGACTTGCTAAAAGCTAACATAGCATTGGGTGAGAGGGTCCTGCACCCTTAGCAGATGCGACTTCTGTCTGGTGGCTGCATGCTGTGCTGATTTCACCCTTTCTCGTGGCGGGAGGTGGTGTGTTTTATGAATGGCAAGTGCGGTGCTTACCTTCATGCATCAGGCTGTGTTGGTCGAGTGAAATTCCATGATGCAACCTCCAGATGATGACTGACTGTTCTCAGGGTGGTGTCTCCTCCTGTTAGAGAACACGGGGGACACTGCCTCCTGCGGGGAGAAGGGGGTTCTCGGGGCACCGGAAACGTCTGATGGTGCTCGGACTGCACTGTGGAGCAGTCGCATGGCTGCTTTGCTTCTGGGGGACGTGGACCATCCGAGTGCTGTCTCCTGGGGCCAGAGGTTCCGTCCGGTTGAATTCGTTTTCTCTCCTCCGTGTCCAGTGTGAGTCGGGGTCTGAAGGAGACGGGACGATGCACCGCAGGAAGAAGCGGAGGACCTGCAGCATGATGGGGAACGGGGACACCACCTCCCAGGACGACTGCGTGAGCAAGGAGCGCAGCTCCTCCAGGTGACCGGCCAGCTCACGCTGTCGGAGGACATGCCGCGGCCAGGGCAGGGCCGGGCCGGGGCAGCCTGTGGGCTCTGCACACGGCAAGCCGAGAACGAGGAAGAGGAGGAGGACGCTCCTGCGATGAGTCCACTCAGCATTTGCTACAGTAGCTCTTTCGTCTGCTACCAGTGCAAGTTACCATGGCTTGTTTTAGGCGTAAAGGCAAGAACCTATGTGGATGGTGCCAAGGAAACCCTGTACATTATTTAATAAAAATGAAATGCATTTTATATCTTTGATTTTTTTTCCCTTTGAGAATACCAGAACCTCTTGTCGTGGTCCTGGGGGAAAGTAGTGACTCCACCGTGTGCCCTCGATGGGGTGCCCTGCACAGGGAAGTCCTCACAACGGGAAATGCGAGGGGACCCCCTGGCATCTGCAGAGCCCGAGGCGGGCCGCTCTCCCACTTGGCCAGGCTGCTTTGCGGTCAGAAGCAGCAGCTCCAGCTCTGGTGGAGTCAGGTGACCGGAACACCGCAGGCTCCCTGCCCTGGTGCTGCGCTCCCCTCCCCCACCGGGCAGGGTGGCCACTTCTGTGTGTGGAGGACAATGAATGCGCACCCTAAGGCCGTAGTCGCCTATTATCTGGATGGTGTGCCTCCTCCTTTTTATATTATTTTTTTCTCCTTTTTAAAGAACTTCACTGCCATCCTCAGGATGCTGTGATCTTTCCCCCAGCACTGCTCTCCGGCTCTCACACTCACCCGCTCACACTCACCCGCTCACACTCACACAGCTGCTCCTCTCCCGACGGCAACGGAAAGAAAACAAAAGCACAAGGCTGTTTGCCGCCAGAGGGCACGGTAGCCGGTCAGTGCTGAGAGTCAGTGCTGAGACGTGCAGGGCTGAGACGTGCAGGGCTGGGACGCAGCGGCAATGTGAACTTGAGAGATCAGCCGCCCTGTTTTTCCCCAGGTGCCAAAAGTGATTCCTTTTTGACAAACAACATCTGGAAATAACGGGTCAGGGATGAGGTGGGGACAAAGGAGGGGAGTGGGGCCGGGCGATCAGGACCAGGCAGGAGGTGGGCACCCAGGATCCTTCCTTTCTACCCGCCAGGCTTGAATGGGGCCAAAAACAGTGAAGTGAAGGTACAGCGTACAACGTCAAGCTGCTTTAGAGACTACTCTCCAGACAGTTTAAAGCCAACAAGCTGGGCCATGAGAGAAGGGATCTTGGACTGAACGAGTGATGGGGAGGAGCAACGGGGCATGTTCAGAGTTGGGGCCCCTGCCCTGGCTGGTTTGGCTCAGTGGACAGTGCGTCGGCCGGTGGACTGAAGGGTCCCGGGTTCAATTCTGGTCAAGGCATGTACTTTGGTTGCAAGCTCCTTCCCAGCCCGGGCCCTGGTTGGGGCTTGTACAGGAGGCAACCAATTGATGTGTTTCTATCATATCAATATTTCTTTCTGTCTTTCCTTCTCTCTTCCACTCTCTCTAAAAATCAATGGAAAAAATAGCTTTGGGTGAGGATTAAAAAAGTAGAGAGTGGAGTCCCAGGACAGCCAAGACTTCAAGAGGACGGAATTTGGGAATGAGGCACCAACGGCTTTTCCTTCAGCTTGGAGAACCCAGGGCTGCACGCAGGTGCCTCCGCACTGCGATGCTCAGGGTGACTCCTCTGAGAGCCTCCAAAACCAGGAACATGGTTCACACTTTGCCCATTTATTAATCATTCAAGCATTCAGCACCTGCTTGAGTGCCAGGCGCTGTCCTAGCACCAAGAGTGCTCCTCCGGCCCAGCACACGGGCCGCTGTGTGCTTGGTGCCCCACGGCCGCTGGTCGGGGTCGGTAACGCCGCGTGCAGAAGTCCTCGCTGCTCACAAGTGTATGAGATCGTCGTAAAGAACATGATCACCATTCCAGCTGATGCTTAGCTTAGCAGCGGCTTCTCTGTAAATTAGCGAGAGGCACGTAAGGCTCGGCCAGCAAGTTGCTGGCGTAAGTGCTTTGCTATCGCGTTGGCGGTTCCGCGCGGCCGGGCGGGAGTTGGGCCTCTGGGCGGGAGTGGGGTGGAACCGGGGCTGTCATACGTGCTCTGAGTGCTGCCTGGGAGCAGGCGTATTGGCAGCTTCGATGCCCGGAGCGTGTGTGGCCGTTCCACAGGTACGGTGTCACGTGTGCTCGCTGCCCGTGTTCCATGTGGAGTCTGTTTCTCACACTCCCGCCCCAGCCCTGAATGTCAGGGTGCAGCAGGGCCAAGCTCGCCCTGCAGCGGGACCCTGTTTGCCACGCCTTCGCTTTAAAGGAAGCATCCGGCTGGCATCTTGGCTCAGTCAGATGTCGGCTCGCTTTTCCAATCGCATGAAATGCTTCCTCAGCAAAAGCCGGGACCTTGTTTTTTGCAGCTTTAGGCGTTGTGTTTGCCATGGACGCTGACAGCCTCGCCAGCGCTGGGTTTATTGGAAATAGCGACTGTGGGGAGTTGGGAGGGTAAAGAAATAATGTCTTTGGTAACAACATATTCAGAGCAAACTTACCCTGGAGAAACAGAGCAGCGGGCCTCCCCTCCCTCACTCGCCTCCCAGGCATCAGAGTGCTGCATTCATGAACCGGGAACGGAGGGGACCCCACGCCATTGGAGCTGAGTTCCAGAAGCCTGTCTGGGGGCGCGCTTTGTGCTGAAGGCGGCCGGGGCCACGGGAGGGCATTCGCAGGCAGGAGCTGGGAACGGCCCTGAGAACGCGGGTGAGGCCGCCCCGGGAACGCAGTGCTGTCCACCAGCCCAGCAAGTGGCTGTGGTCTCATTGTCCCACAGGAAGTCCAGGGCAGTTTCCGGGGGCTCCCTGGCTTTCCTCGGCCCAAACTGGCACTTACATTTCCAAACCCTCTAGAGGGCCCGCTGGACGGGGCTCACCCCTCCTCCGGCCTCGGATGCGCTTCCCAACGAGTCTGGGCTCTGGTCCCCCGGGTCTGTCGCCCCAGGGGGCGGGGTGTCGGGGCGGGTCCGAGGCGGGGCTCCGCCCCGGGGCGGGGCGCGGGAAGCCTCCTCGGGGTCCCCGCGGGCGCGCACTCGGGCGGCCGGGCGATGGAGGCGCTGGCCGAGCTGCTGGCCGCGCTGCCCGCACTGGCCACGGCGCTGGCGCTGCTGCTCGCCTGGCTGCTGCTGCGGCGCCGGCCGGCCGCGAGCTCGGACCCCGCCCGCGCGGCCCCGGAGCCCGCGCCCCCGCCCGCGGCCAGGGCACCCTCGGCGCCGCCCGGCCCCGCAGCCACGGAGAACGCGGCCGCGCCCCAGGAGCCGGGGGAGCCCGCGGAGCCGGCGGAGGAACAGGCCGCCGCGGAGAAGCAGGTACGGCCCGGCCCCAGCGCCCCTCCCCATCCGGTCCGCTCCCTCCCGGCGCCGCGGCCCACGCGGAGCCAGGAACCGCGCCCCCGGCCTCGGGACGGGCGGTCCCCGCAGGACAGAGCGCGCGGCCGGCGGGAAAGGCGGTCGCCCGGCGAACTCACATCCCCCGGAAAGTGTCTCCCGGGGACGAGCCCGTCGGAGTTGTGCTGTTGTCGGGCTGCTTTCCTCCTCCCGCGGCCCCAGCCCCGCTCCACTCCCGGGACGCACGCCCCACCCCCGACCCCTCCCGCCCGCGGTGCCCAAATCCACGTGCAAGTGGTTTGTTTCAAGGAGCACGAGATGCTTATGGGAAAGCGTGACACTTGGAGAGAAAGAAAGGACGGGTGCCTTTCCTTCTGAGGCCATTGCGTTCCAGAGGCCGGGGTGGGTGATGTCACGCTGCAGGGGGTGGGACCGAGCGCCGAGCCGGACAATCGCGGCCGCCCTCGCTGTCGTTGTCACACTGCACCTGCGCCTGGGCACGGCTCCCGGTGGCAGACGTGCCGCCCGTGCAAGATCAAGCCGTAGCCAGCTGAGCGCCTGCCCGCCCTGCCAGCTCGGCCCAGACTGCTCCCGCCGGGCCTGGCTCGGGCATGCGGAGAGGTGCCTGGTGTCGCGCCTGCCCTCGCCCCCAGCACCATACCCTTTCCCAAGCTCCTCTTCAGATTGGAAACCTTCATCCCTTCCCTGCACGTCCCCCGAACGTCCCAGGCTTCCAGCCCCTGGGGCCCTCCAGGCTGGCCCCGAGGGCCCCTCTGATCAGATGCCCTGGTCTCACTCCAGCTCCGGTTCTTCTTGGACGGGAGGATGGCCCGGAGGTCGAAACCGAGAGCCAGCGGCTTCGGTGCTGTCAGCCTGCGCGCAGGGCCCACTCTGAAGTTCACGGGACACAATGGTTTACACCCGAGACAACCTGGGGGACGGGGGGCGGGGAGGAGAGGCTTTCTGAGTACCCGACCTTCTCGAGCTGTGCTTTGCTTGAGAAGTGAGTGACTCAGTGTCACTAGAGTGGATTCTGTGGAGGAGGCTGCTGTGTGCCTCCCGGCTGGACAGGGTTCTGGTGATGGGAGCTGTGCTCTCCAGGGAACAGGCCTCCCATGCCGGGCAGCTGGGGTTTGCCCCGGGTTTGGGGTTTCTGCCGGCACCCAGCCCGGGGGAGCGGAGAGGTGAGCCGGCCTCAGGCTGCCCTTGCTCCCAACCAGCCTCCTCCTGCGTCGACTCTACACCGTGGCCCTTCCCGCCCAGTGGCAGCTCTGGGCTGAGGGTTAAAATGCCCATTAGTGGCGCCCTCCCATGTGGGTCCTCTGGGCTCCGGCCTCTGCAGATGGTACCTAACGCGGGGCTCCCGCTGTTCCCGAAGGAGCCCCAGCCACACTGCGCTCTGGGAGGCAGGTCCCGGGTGTTTGGCTTCGGACAGGGCCCTTTCCGCCCGGGGCAGGCGCAGACCGCGTGCTCCCGCAGCTGACGCCAGGCCTCCCTGACTGTCCTGATCCTCCACACTGACTGAGAATTAGAGGATTAGTGTGAGGTTAGCGTCCTCTCAGAGGTCGTGCCCTTCCTTTGGGGTTCAGGTCCCCAGCCTTTCTGGGTTGCCCAGCCCCGCTTAACGCTAACTGGCAAACATGGAGTCATGGCACTGCGTTCGGGCCGGGGGCCGGGTGCTGGGGCCCACAGCTACTCCCTGCCGTCCAGTGTGGGGTCTCCCCCGGAAGAAGCTGCTCAGAGATTGTCTGGAAAGGGACTCGCTTGTTTCAAGAGCAGGCCCCCCCCCCCCCCCCCCCCCCCCCCCCCCCCCCCCCCGTTACCCCACTGCCTGAGCCCTGGGTGCGGATGGGAAGCAGCGAGGCCCCAGCCAGCCTCCCGGCCTCTGGCCTCTCACTAAGTGAAGGGCAGCAGGGAGAGGGGGAGGGGACGAGCGGAAGTCCCTGCCCCAGAGCAGCACTTAACTCGTCTCTCCCCTCCCCCTGCTTTTCCATTAACCACATCCCTGCTAATCCCGCCGGCTCCCTGCCCTGCCAGCCGGAGGCGGGGCAGCTGCTCCTCCTCTCACAAAGCTGATTATTGAGAAGGATCTGGAGCCCGGAGCGGCAGCCTTCTGACCGTGCTGGGGGGCGGAGGCCGCTGGGAAGTGTCCCCGCGGTGCCAAGGGCCCTCCGTGGGCTGGAACACTGAGCATGGACGGAGGAAAGGGGGGCAGCGGGCCAGGGCGGGGGGGGGGGGGCAGCGGGGCAGGGAGGCCCACGCAGGGCAGCCGGCAGAGGCAAAGGCAAAGGATCAGACCCCTTTCTTCTCGTTTCTCAGGGTCGGGGGCGGGAGCACCACAGACTCGCCCCACCCTCACCGAGAATTACCGTGAACACCACCAGGGCCGGCGGGTCCCTTTTAAGGCCAGAAACAGGGCTGTGGGGGCTGATGTGAGGGCCGGGATTTGAGGATTGCCCGGCTTCTGACCTAATGAGGTTGGGTTCCGGTGAGGCCGTACCGTTGGCTTCCCAGACAGTGGTCAAGGGTGAAGGGTCAAGTGTCATTCAGGCAGGGCCAGAGCTCAGGCATCGTGGCCCGCAGGTCCTGGCTCCACTCAGACTGAGGACGGACTTCGTGCCCGGCAGCTGGCCCGTGTCCTGTCACCAACAAAACAGGCAGGGAGACCCTTCTAGATGAAAGGAGACACCAGAGACCTGGCCATGCGGCTCAGCTGGGGTGTCGTCCCGTGCACTGAAGGGATGTGGGTTCGATTCCCCATCCGGCCCCCGAAGGAGGCAACCAATCGATGTCTCTCTCTCTCCCTCTCAAATCAGTGTTTTTTTAAAAAAATGTTTTAAAGGAGACACCAGAGAGACCTGGCAGACAAGTGCAATGCCCGCTCTCCGATTGGATGCTGGGTTGGGTGGGGGTGGGGCGCGGTGAAGGACATTTGGGAGGTAATTGGACATGTTTCAAACGAAAGGCTGATGAGATCGGTTTATTGTTTCAGTGCTCAGTTTCTTGAGTGTGATGCTGGCGCTGCGGCTCTGTCGACAAATGTCCTTGTTCTGGGGAAGATGGTGCTGAAACATTGGGGCATGACAGGCCGTGATTCACAGTCACGCACACAAGTGTGGGTGTGGGGGGAGAGCGCCAAGATGGTGACGTGTGAACAGTGGGCGATTCAGGTGAAAGATGTGATGGTCACTGTATTATCCTTCCAGCTTTTCTGGAGGTTTGGAACGTTTCAAACACAGCGTGGGAAAAAGGAACCCGGGGGGAGTGTCCCCGGGCAGGACTGGGCTGCTCGGACCCCTGTGCTCGGGTGGCCGCCTCGGCTGTCCTCGCCGCGCCGCTGGGCCCGCCGAAGCTGGGTCCCTCCTGTGTCCCCCTCCCCAGCCTTGTTGCCACAGGTGCCCCGCCCCGCCAGGTGCAGAGCCCGCAGCCTTCGCAGCACGATGGAAGTGCTCGGCCACACCCAGCTCCCCCAGGCCCGGCACCCAGTGGCACCCAGAGGCGCCCAGTGGCACCAGCAAGTGCTGCCTGACCGACTAGGCGTCGACACAACAAGAAAACACGGGCTCCTGTCAAAGGCGGCCCCTCCTCCTGGGACGCCCAGGGCTGTGATGCCCCAGAGGCAGCTGCTCGCGGCCTGGACCTCCGGCGGTGGCTGGGAGCCGGCAGTTCACCGCAGGTTTCATCACCAGAGCTGTGGGTCGCGGCCATCAGCTCAGTGGTTTTCTAACGTTTTTTAAAGCACCAGGTACTGTACCTGCTTTCCTCTTCGAGCTCGGAGGGAGCCAGTGCCCAAGCGGAGGCAGAGCTGCTCAGGGAGGGGTCTTGACCTCTATTCCTGCCCTTCCTCCTTTAAAAAATTTTTTATAAATTTACTTGAGAGAGAAAGAGAGAGAGAGAAGCATCGATGTGAGAGAGACACATCAGTTGGTTGCCTCCCGCACATGCCTGCCCCGGGCCGGGGATCAAGCCTGCAGCCCAGGTACGTGCCCTGGACTGGAGCTGGACCTGCCGCCCTTCAGTCTGAAGCCCGATGCTATGGAATTGAACGTGCAGCTGCCTTTACGGGGTTTCAAGCAGGAAAAGCACCAAAAGTTGGCAGATGAACTGGAGGAGCGGGGTCGGGGACGGTGCCGAATGAAGGGCTGCGTGAGGTGGCGGGAGCGTGGACGGCGAATCCCAGAAGCGCCCACAGGCAGGGAGAGGGAGAGGCAGAGGGAAAGGACGCCTCAGCCTTGTCAGCCTCCTGGGCCGCAGTGAAGGTCAAGGGTGCTGGACCCAGAGAACAGCTGACGAGCTGAGAGGGGCCAGTTTAGGACAAGAAGACCTAAGTCCCTGGTCCCCGGGAGTGCCTTCCAGTGGCAGGTTTGGATGCAGAGCTGCCCGCCCTCGCCTGGAGCAGCATCAGGAGCCTGGTGGCTGAGCTCATGTGTTGGTCTGTGTGCAGCGACCCAGCCGCAACCTCTGCCGCCTGCCCTCCCAGCAGCCCCGCGCTGGCGCCAGCCCTTTCTCTGCAACCTCCTGCCCCCCGCCCCCCGCCGCCACCCTCTGCTGCAGACGAGCAGCCTGGTGGCCGGAGGGACCCAGCGGGAGGGAGGGGGCAGTCAGGCCGCAGCCTGCGTGGAGCCGGGAGCCAGGAGGCAGCCTGCCCTCTGCTCTCGGTGCCCGTGGGGAAGCCTCCAGGGTGGTGGGGGCTCCTGGACCCTCCCAGGCTGCTGGGCAGTGCCCAGGCCCCTGAGAGCTCCTGTGACCCCTGTCCTTGCTGCTATGGGGGCGGGAGGGACAAGTGTTCCCGCAGGCGCAGGCGTGAGTTCAGTTGCCCCACTTCCCCCTTCCCTCCCTTCCCCCCACCCCCCTCCCCGCCTGGTGGAGATGTGCCGCTAAACCAGGGGTGGGCAAACTTTTTGACTGGAGGGCCACAATGGGTTCTTAAACTGGACCGGAGGGCCGGAACAAAAGCATGGCTGGAGTGTTTGTGTGAACTAATATAAATTCAAAGGAAACATCATTACATAAAAGGGTACGTAGTTTGCCCAACGCTGCTCTAAACTCACCCCAGATTAACAGGGGTGGGGGGGGTGGGAGGGGGTGTCACAGCAGGAGGCAGCTCAGGTTGCCTCCAGCACAAACCCCAATCAGAGCTCGGCCAGAGAGGAGCCTGCAACCGAGGTACGTGCCCTGGACTGGAATCGAACCTGGGACCCTTTGGTCCGCAGGCCGACACTCTATCCCAGTGGTTCTCAACCCTCCTAATGCCGCGACCCTTTAATACAGTTCCTCATGTTGTGGTGACCCCCAATTTCATTGTTACAGATTGAACATAATTAAAGCATAGTGATTCATCACAAAAACAATATGTGATTATATATGTGTTTCCCAATGGTCTTAAGCGACCCCTGTGAAAGGGTCGTTCGACCCCCAAAGGGCTCGAGACCCACAGGTTGAGAACCGCTGCTCTATCCACTGAGACACACCGGCCAGGACTGTTGTTACTTTTAGAGACAATGGAACCCTCTCCGATACGATGTTCTCTAAACCCCACTGGGTAACCAACTGACCGTTGTGCCTTCCTGGAGCACGAGGTGCAAAGCAGTCCATCGCTGGAGTCTGACAAGGCACACCCCCACCCCGTGCCCCCCTGGAGAACTGGAGCTGCTCTGGGCGTGCAGGATGTTGTGTGAGTGGGCAGTGCAGTGGGCAGGACTCTGGCTGTTGGGGCAGACACTTGGAGTTGAGTGGCTCACAGGCAGGGACAGCCAGGGTGGAATGGCCTCTGCTCGGCCCCCTGTCCCCAAGGGGAAGGTGGGCCTGGGGCACAGCCACATGCTGGTGTGTGGAGGGGGTGGGGCCTGAGCCCCACCTGGCAGTTCCCAGGAGACTGAGGGCTTCAAAGGGCGTTTTCTGAAGGAAGGAGGCTTCCGTGCAGACAGAAAACAGCGAGCGGCCAATTTACAGTCTTCTAAAGCTCATGCGTCTCACAGGAAACGTAGATTTTAATTTGTGTATGCGAAGTCACAGAACCTCACCAGAAGTTTTACAAAGCTCTGTGGATCTCCCCCACTAACTCCACACTATTTGTCTTTCATCTAATTCTGGGATATAGGGTGCCCTCAAAGTCTAAGTGCAGTTTTAAATTTTAATCACTTAAGAAGTGTAAATGCTACATACCTACAAACACATCAGGTGAATATTTACTTAGTAAATGTATTTTACACTTGGCTTGCTGACATTTGGATGCTAAGCTTTTCATTTTAATTCTTGGGGTGGGCCAGCATCTGGCCGGGTGGGCAGGGGGAGGAGGGCTCTCCCACGGCACCGCGGAGAGCTGGCCGACCTCCCTAGAGGCCACCATGTCCACTCTGCCACATGTGCATCAAGACCCCGTGAGGCTGAAATGGAAGGGCAGTCCCTTCAGTCACTGCCCATCAGCCCGAGCCTGTTTTCTAAGTCTGAGAACCAACTGAAGCCACGCGCAGCACTAAGGGGTGTGGCCTTATATGAAAATGAGTAAGAAACACCAATACATCTGTCAATAACTAACCTTTCCAATGTCATTTTTTGGTATGTTTGTAGCATCTATGCTTCTGAAGTTATTAGTGTGATTTTAAACTTTAAGACTTGGATGCACCTATTTAAATATTTTTGATTTCAGAGAGGAAGGGAGAGAGAGAGAGAGAGAGAGAGAGAGAGAGAGAAACATCAATGATGAGAGAGAATCATTGATCGGCTGCCTCCTGCACACCCCCCATTGGGGATCGAGCCTGCAACCCGGGAATGTACCCTGACCGGGAATCAAACCCTGACCTCCTTGTTCAAAGCTCAACCACTGAGCCACGCCGCCAGGCTTGCCTCTTTAATACTCGGTGTTGGGTGGTCTACATGCGCGGTAACATGTGTGACCCAGTAATATTTTGGTGAACATATTAACCAAATATACTGAACTGTAACATTAACTCTAGGATACACCGTTAGGAGCGTGGCTTTATTTTGTTGCGCACCAGAAGTGGGTTTGCTGAGTCCAGGGCATGTGCCCTTTGGGGACCCCACAGTCACAGAGACGTTTTCGTGGAGACCCCGGGCACCGACCAGCGCTCAGGGCATCGTGGCCCCCACCTCGCTGGGGCCGCGGCTGGAGGAGCCAGCCCTGTCTGCGCCCAGCCGGCGGCGGCGTGTGGTCCGGGAGAGAAGGTGCTTAGCTCTTAGGCTTGTGCAAACGCTGCGTCCCGCTCAGCTCGCTGTTCAGTCGGGCTCCTGCCGAGGCTGCAGGCTCTGGCCCCGGACCCGGAGCCCTGACGGCCTGGCCGGGGTTTGTCCGCCTTATGGGTCAGGGCAGGTTCGGAGCTCGGCTCTCCGCCGGCCGGGCGGCCAAGTCGCCCACAGTACAGACAGCCTGGGCGGCCCCAGCGCCTCGTCTGTCTCCAGGAAGCCCTCTGCCAGCAGCCCCTTCCCGCCGGCGCGAATCCCCTCCGACTCTGTCCTTCTCGGAGCCTGCGTCCCCAGCGCGCGGTTAGAGCCGCGGCGAGGGGAGGGTCCGCCCGCCGCAGCCACGCCTCCAGGGGTGGGGCATGCAAATTAGAAATACCGTCGTTCCCCCTACCCCCCAGTCCGCCGCCCAACCTCCCCGCAAAGGACGACGGCACAAGACACATAAAATTTCTCTTTAAAAATATAGAGAATTAAGAAGCCGGCACAAGAGTCTACCCTCTGGTGAGTGCCATGGTGCTGGCAAAGCAGCAAAGGAAGTGAGGGCTCCACTGCCGGCGACCCGGCTCACCGTGAGTGCAATGTGGGTGGTGGGAGGAGGGTGCCGGCCAGGGGGTGCGGGCAGCATCGCTTCTCGGCCTTTCGGTAAGATCAAGTGTAGCGTCTGTTCCTATCAGTTCAGTATCTGGCACGTCCTCCATCCCAGGGCAATGTAGTAAATGGGTTTTTGAAGCTGGGAGGTGGAGTAGGGGCTTACTCCGCGCATCGGCCCGGGTGTTGCAGGGCCTCCGGGATCGGTGCACCCCCTCGGGGGGAATATAAGTCGGGTTTTAAAGAATGACACGGGCTCTGCCTGCGCCCTCTTGTGGCGGGCGCCATCTTGCTCAGAGCTGAGGGGTGTTGCCTTGTCTTTAGTTGCCTGGAACTTGAGGGGACCACCCCTGCTTAGGTGCTGGCGAGGAGACCCGTCAGGCAAAGTTCCCGACCTCGGGGCGCGCCCAGCCACAACCCAGGGTAGAGACGGGACACCTGTCCAAATGGCCGCGATGCCAGCCGGGACAGCAGTGAGCGCAGATGGGTGCACAGGTCTGAACAGAGGTCCCGGGAGGGGAATGCCTGCAGGAGGGTCAGTCGGGTGCAGGCGCACAGTCTATGTTGCCTCTCATTCATTCATTCCTTCCTTCCTTCAACAAATACCTATCAAGTGCCAAGCACGTGCGGAACACTGTCCTAGCTGCGGAGGTAGAGCAGCAAACAAAATCTCTGCCATCAGACTGAGAAGCTCATTAGCTTCTAGGTGTGCATGGCTGTCAGTGCACCTCTACACCCATGTGTCTGTATGTATGTCTCTATCTGTGTATCTCTGTCTATGCCATGTGACGATCATGGGTGTCCACAATGACTTGACAGCTGTGAGAAAAAGAAAGCCAGGTGAAGAGGGAGGTGAAGCAGGGGTGCCCAGGATGGGGGCGGGGGGGGGGGGTGGTCCTTCCCAACACTGCAGAATGGACGTTAGCTCGGATGGGAAGTGACGTTCCCCAGAGGGCACTTGTCACAAAGAGAGGCCAGTACATGCTTGGCACCTCCACGAGGACCGAGGACCTGATCAGAGAGGTGTTACCATTGTCCCCGCTGTACAGTTTAACAACCCTGAGGCCCCAGGCGGTTAACAAACTGCCTAAATCCCGGCCTTTGGCAAATTGCTTAGCCTCCCTGAGCTTCGGTCTGTAACAGTGCTGCCCACTAGAAATGTGTGAGTCGCAATGTAATTTCTAGTTTCTAGTAGCCACATTAAAATAGAAAATAAAGAAGAATCGGTGGAATTTTTTATTTAACTCAATATATCAAAAATATTGCTTCAATGTGTAACCCCTATAAAAATTCAGATATTTTACATACCTTATCCCAAATCTTCAAAATCCCACGTGTGCCTCACACTCAGGGCAGGGCACAGTCAGTAGGACTAAGCACACACCCAGCGCTCGGCAGCCGCCTGTGGTGTCGGCTGGACAGCGCGGGTCCACGGAATGGGGATGATGAGAACGCGTGGGGATTAGCGTGGGCTGAAATGAGTGAGGCACTTGCCTTGGGAAAATGAAAACATTAAGGGAGCACCAGAAAGCGACACAAAACGGTAACCAACGTGAATGCCTCACCATCAAGACAACTGTATTAAAACAGGAGCCTGCTCCCCTTGGTTACTGAGGAGTTGTGGACACGCCACTAAATTACCCACCCACCCCCACACGCACACTCACCCTCACACTCACACACACTCACACACCCTCACACTCACACACCCCCTCACACTCACACCCTCACCTCACACCCTCACTCACTACCACACTACACACACCCTCACACTCATACACCCTCCCTACACCACACTACACATTCATACACCCTCATACACACCCCCTCACACTCACACACCCTCACATTCATACACCCTCACTCACACACACCCACACACTCACATTCATACACCCTCACTCACAGAACAACACACCACACACACACACACACACACCCTCACTCACACACACCCACTCATACACACACCCTACAGCACACACACACCCTCACACACACTCACATTCATACACCCTCACACTCACACACACACTCACACACACACACACCCCCTCACATTCATACACCCTCACTCACACACACAACACACGCACACACACCCGCACCACACACACACCACACACACACACACACACACACCACACACACACACCCAGCACACACACACACACACACACACACCACACACCCGCAGACACACACACCCTCACACGCACACACACACACGCACACACCACACACCCTCACACACACACACACCCCACACAACACACACCCTCACACACCACACACATCACACACACCTTCACACTCACACACACCCTCACACTCACACACACACACACCCTCACACACACCCTCACACTCACACTCACACACCCTCACACACACACACACTCACACACACACACCCCCTCACACTCACACACACACACACACACCCCACACACACACCCCCGCACACGCCACACCACACCCGCACACGCACCACGCACCCACACACACACACACCCCACCCGCACACACCCCACCACACACACCCTCACACACACACCACCCCTCACACACACACACACCCTCACCCACACACCCTCACACTCACACACACCCTCACACACACACCCTCACACTCACACACACCCTCACACTCACACACACCCTCACACTCATACACACACCCTCACACTCACACACACCCTCACACACACACACGCCCCACAACACACACACACACCCTCACCACTCACACACACCCTCACACACACACCACCCCCTCACACACACCACCCTCACACACACACACCACCCTCACACTCACACACACCCTCACACACACACACACACACACACACACCCTCACACTCACACACACCCTCACACTCACACACACCCCACACCACACACACCCTCACACTCAACACACCCCCTCACACACACACACACCCTCACACTCACACACACACCCTCACACTCACACTCACACCCTCACACTCACACACACCCTCACACTCACACACACCCTCACACTCACACTCACACCCTCACACTCACCATCACACACACACACCCTCACACTCACACACACCCTCACACTCACACACCCTCACCCACACACCCTCACACTCACACACACCCACACACACACCCACACCCTCACACTCACACACAACACACACCCACACTCACACACACCCCACCCCTCACACTCACACACCCGCACCCGCACACACACCCGCACACTCACACCCGCACACGCACCACACACACACCACACCTCACACTCACACACACCCTCACACACACACACACCTCACACTCACACACACACACACCCTCACACTCACACACACCCTCACCACACACACACCCTCACACCACACACACCCTCACACACACACACACCCTCACACACACACACACCCTCACACAACACACCACCTCACCCCACACCACACCCTCACACAACACACACACACACACTCACACTCACACACACACACACTACACCACACTACACAAACACACACACCCCCTCACACTCACACACACACACACCCTCACACACACACACACACACCCTCACAATCACACACACACACACCCTCACACACACACACACACCCCCTCACACTCACACACACACCCTCACACTCACACACACCCTCACACACACACACCCTCACACTCACACACACCCTCACACACACACACACACACCCTCACACTCACACACACACACCCTCACACACACACACACCCTCACACTCACACACCCTCACACTCACACACACCCTCACACACACACTCTCACACTCACACCCTCACACACACACACACCCTCACACACACACACACCCTCACACACACACCCTCAAGGCGAGCGCCTCGCTGGCTGGCCGTCCTGACCCTGCAGTAACGCCTGGTGCTGATGGCGACCGTCCACCTCACGGGCGTGTGGCGTGAACCGCATGGGGTGATGCCCACACACAGCGCTCAGCTGGGGGCGCGGGCAACAAGGGCCTCAGGCTTTCCGCTGCCGGGAAACAGGACCGATGGGGTTTCAGCCTTGCATCGTGATGACCTTCTAGCTCTTCTGAGGTCAAAGGGAAGAACTGTAAACGCCCCAGCTAAGCTGAAGCTTGGAAAGGAGGGTGGGGAAGGTGCATGCTGACGGGCAGCCTTTGCCACGGACGGGAAATGGGAGGGACGGGGACCAGGCGGACGGGATCGGGGAGGGCCAGCTTAACCTGCTGACAGGCCGTGCGCCAGAGCACGCCAAGCAGTCGCCGCTCTCCTCCCCGGTGCCCCGCCGGCCTGGGCCCAGTCGCCCACCTTCCCCCCAGTGCGGTTTCTCTGACTGAGGGGGGCCTGAGCCCCGGTTCTGGGCTCCGCGTTTACCGAGTGAGCACCGGCCGCACTGATGTCCGGTTTCGGTGGCGGTGGGGGGTGCACTGGACATGAACACGGTGGGACCAACTGCCCAGGCGTGGGGGAGGCGGAGGGCGCTGACTGCGGAGCCCAGGAGGCGGTGCCCTCACCGAAGCCCCGAGAGCCGGTGCTGGAGCCGGAGAGAGGCCCTTGGAGGCCTCGCCCGGCCCTTCCCACTGGACACGCCCGTCCCCCTCCCGAAACAGCCCCTCCAGACCTCGTGCTCCCGGTGCTGCCTCCTCGCTGTGGGCAGTCGTCTTACACCTGCAGGCGTTTCCTATTTGTCCACTCGCCTCTGAGCCGCACCCCGCACCCCCAGAGCTGGAGCGAGGGCACTGACCACCCCCCCCCCCCGTCTTGCAGGAAGAGGAGCAGGAGCAGGACAGCGAGGAGGAAGCACCCCCAGCAGAGCCTGAGGAAGACGATGGTGAGTGGGACCTGGCACCGAGGCCTGCTCTCCGTCCAGCTCTCGCTCTGGCCATGAACGCCCGCTGCGCTGGGGGCTCGTGGGGTCCCAGCTGAGGGTCGGGGGAGAGGATGAGGGCGGGGGGCTGAGACATGGAGTCCTGTTGGCCCCAGGATGTCCAGCTCAGAGCCGCTCCCTCCACCCCACCTCCCTGCACCCACCTCCCTGCCCACCTCCTTTCTACCTGTAAACTGTGAGCTGTCTCCCAACACAGGGCCCGTCCCCTGATAAACGGAGCCCCTGACCTCGTGTCCTGAGCTGCCCCTCACCGCCTGGGGTCGCGGCCATGGGGTCATGGCCATGCCCTTCACTCTCTCCAAGCCCTGCTGCCCTGTTTCATGGAGACCAAAGCCACTCCGGCTGCTGCCGTGCGCCTGCCGAACGGACGCCCCGACCTGAGCGGCTCCAGCTAACAGGCCTCCTGCTGGCCATCAGGGTCAGGCGCCAGGAGAGAAAGGGAGTGACCAGGACATGGAGGAAACCACCAATGCAAACGTGACCTAGTGGAAGGCAGTGTGTTTGTCCGGGCGCCCCTGGGGCCAGTGCCCTGGACAGACAGACAGAACCGAACACGTGTGGAGCTGCCACCGCTGCATCTGTCCTGTCTCCTTCTCTTAAAAAGAAGCTAAAGCAAAAACAGCAAAACGTCAACATTTGCTCAACCCATAGGGCAGGGAGACGGAGGACTTGCTGCTATACTTTTGTGTATGTTTGAACTCTTTCGTAATGTTTGTTGTTAATCCTCACAGAGGGTATTTCCCATCGATTTCCAGAGAGAGTGGCAGGGAGAGGCAGACACAGACACAGACGCATCGCTTGGTTGCCTCCCACACACGCCCCCAACCAGATCGCGCCTGCAGCCGAGGCACGTGCCCTTGACCGGAATTGAATCCGGGATCCTTCGGTCTGCAGGCCGATGCTCTAGCCACTAAGCCCAACAGGCTAGGGCTATTTTGTAATTTTTAAAAAGCAAGGCTGTTGCTGTGACTTTAAGTCGACTGCCGGCAGGAGCCGGAAGAGGGTTGCAGGAATGCAGGAACCAAGGCTGGCGTGGGCCGGCTGGGCTGGGGGTGAAGCCTCCCGCTGGAGGCCAGCAGGGCTGGGCTGTCTGCATCTGTCAACACAGCCTCGGGGAAGAGGAAGGGCAGGGTGCTGGGAGGGGGGGGGGCGGGGGGGGGGGAGTTGGACATCAGCCCCTTGAGGGACTCTCCCTCCGAACAGCTGTCAGTCCTCCCAGATTGTCCGCAGGGACCGTGGCCCCAGGGTCTGATCCTGCCACGTGAGTGGGTGACTTGGGGACACAGAAGCAAAGCTGAGGCTGCTGGAGGCCCCTCAGCCAGGACAAGTGCCCTCCCTCCTTGTCTGACCGCTGCCCTGGACACCCCCATCCCAGGCCGCCTCCTGGGGGAGGTTGTGGGCTCCCAGGCCAGCGTGACCAGCTCAATCCGCAGGCTAATTGACCTGTGTCCCTAAGCACTCAGTGGGTTCACATGAGACTGCAAAAGGCTGTCCCCCTCCCGGGGGGCGGTCGCACGGAGCCCTCCTGATCCAGCAACATGGGAAGTTTGGGACATGCATGGTACATGCATGTGATCACGCGAAAACCTCTGCAAGTCTGTGGCCTGGAAAACAACCCCGGTCGGACCTGCCCATGAGCCGAAGCCTGAGCAGCGCCCGCCGGCAGCGCTTTTTGTTTTATTTCTCTCAGCAGCCGCGCAGCGGCCTCGCCTGGCGGTTGACGGCTTCTTCGTTGCCTCTTTTTGAGGCCCACAGGCAGCATGGGCGGCCAGCTCCGTGGGGTTCTGCCCGGGGCAGGCTGGTTGCGCTTTCCTGGTGCCCACAGACTCCGGGGCCCCGAATCACGCAGCAGTTCCCAGAGCCCCGACCCTGTGCCCAGACCCTGCGCCGTGAGCTTTCTGGGCCTTTAGGAGCTCAGCCCGGAGGGAAGGGCTGGCTATGGGGGGGGGACCCCACCGAGAAGGGAGGGAGTCGCCCTGTCTCTCATCTGGAGGAAGAGCCAGGCCCTGGCCCATCTCAGGGCTCCTTGCTGTGCGGACTCTGTACAGCCCCCCTACCCCTCCCGGTGGATGCCAGGCAGCCTGCCCCCTCCCGCTCCCTGCCCCCCCCCCCCTCCCGCTCCCCCTCGCGCTCCGCTCCGCTGCTGTCTTTTTCTGCTGAGGGTTCAGGACCAGCTGTAAACTCGACACCGAGTTACTTCTCGTTGTTTGCTGTGCTTTCCTCACTGCCCGGGCCCCAGCGCCCAGGACAGGCTCTGTCTGGTGAATGAACGCAGAACAGTAACTGCTCCCTAAGGAGAGGCCTCAGCCCCGGGCGGGTGGGCGGGGGTGGGGGGGAGTGCTCCTACAGCCCCACCTCCTAAGCGGTGCTGGTGAGAGGCGGCCGACCCCACAGCATGGGGACTGGGTTCTGAATTCGCACCCAGACCTTCCTGGTTTGGCCCAGAGAGAACCTGAGAGCCGAGCCTCTCCTCCCTCGGGCCCACATGCGCCTGTGTCCGCGAGGCACGGACAGCGGCGGGCGGGGGTCAGGGTGGCCTGCAGGGTGTGGAGGTGTCTGAGATTCCCGACCTTGGAGGGGGTGGGGGTGAGCCGGCCAGAGCAGAACCGAAAAGAATATGCGTGTGGGAGGGGTTTGCTGGCAGTTCCGCACTCAGGTCTGTACTCACTCCTGGGAATTAGTAAGACCAGCCTTCAGCCTTGTCCCCCGTGGCCCAGCGGCCATCCTGCACAGGCCTGAGGGCTGAAGCGCCCCCCACCCACCCATGAGGGCGCTGCTCCCCAACAGGGCTCCCTCCGCCAGGACACTGGCCGCCTCCTGCCCTGCAGCCCTCGGCTGTGCCGCATCCGCGTGTCCAGCACCTGCCGTTGCTCCATGTCACGGAGTCCCCCTCAGGCCTGGAGAGCTGCCCTGGTTCTCTCATGTGTGTCTCCCATGTAATGGAGATGCAGTGAGCAAATGGTCGTTACGCGTTGGTCAGGACCGGAGCAGCGATCAGCGGGAGGGTGGGGCAGCGAGCTACTGGCTACAAGCAGGCAGTGGAGAGCTACAGGAGGGGGCAGGGCAGCAAGCTAGTGAGGGGAGGTGGGGGAGCTACAGGAGGGGGCAGGGCAGCAAGCTAATGAGGGGGTGGGGGAGCTAAGGAGGGGGCAGGGCAGCAAGCTAATGGGGGGTGGGGGAGCTAAGGAGGGCGGGGCAGTGGGCAGAGAGCTATAGGAGGGTGGCAGCAAGCTATCCTGAGTGCAGGTGAGGGTGAGCCGGGTCCTCTTGGGGCCAGGCTGCACCCGGGCTGGCACTGTGTGCAGGGGCCTCTGCCCCTTTTTGAAGGGGGGGGGGGGGGCTCTGGCGCTCACCCTCTGTCCCCCTGCAGGAGGAGAGGCCTTCCTCAAGTACAGCCCCGGGAAGCTGCGCGGCAGCCAGTACAAGAGGATGATGACCAAGGAGGAGCTGGAGGAGGAGCAGAGGTAGGCGGCCCTCCTGGGGCTCAGCTTTCCTGGCATCGGGCAGGGGGGTGGGGGGGCGGCCGCGTCTCACCCAGACCCTTGGTTCAGGGGCCAGGAGGAGCCCGCTCCTGTGAGCTGCACCCACTCTGACCGTCTCCATGGTCATGGGACGGGCACTGGGGGGAGGATGCTGAGCCCATTCCTTGCACCCACCCTCCCCCGACAGAAAAGAGAAAAGGAAGAGATGCCAGGGGAGGGCCTGGAGCAGATCGGCTGCTCACTCACCCGCCAAGTTCATGACAAAACCCATCCATCACCTGGCAGAGCCGGACTCTTCCGCTCATCCACTCGCCCGACGCCCAGCCTCCTCCCAGCCCAGCGCCCGCGGCCTGTTTATCTGTTCTGCTCCGGGAGCCCGGGGCGGCCGCACAGGCGCAGCTCCTCTAGAATTGCGCTCCCCCAACACACACACACACACACACACACACACACACACACACACACACGGCGGCCCCACCACACACCCAGCGTCCCTGCCAGGGCCTTTCCTGTCCAGCCCGCCCTGCAGGAGGCTGAGGGGAGAGAGGCTGACCCTGAGCCCAGCGTGTGGCCTGGAGTCCTTTGTCTGGCCGGAGTCTAACCGGCACCCCGCGGGGCTTGGGCCATCACCCCGCTCCCGGCACCCAGAGAGGCCGAGGGCACTCACCGTTCATTACTCTCACCAGCCACCCACATCCATCCAATCAGAGCCACTCCGCCCGGGGCACCCCACTTCCCCTCCGGCGGTCCCTGGCGGGGAGGAGCCCCTCCAGGGGGAAGGTGGCCTGCGAGCCTCCACCCTCCCTGCAAGGATGAGGACGAGGACGCCTCTGGTGACCCGTGTGCTGGCTTTATATTTCAGGATTGAGCTGACCTCTGACCTCACTTCCCTGTAGCAAGTTCCTTAGGTCCTGAGCCACAATATTCTTGCAAATCCTTTTGGTAAGGAGACTGACTGCTTAGACTAGGGGTGCTCCCCTCACCCTGTAATGTGTCCCCCAAACGACCGAGTGGTCTAACCCCTCCTCCGCCGCCTTCATCGCCAGGGAACACGTGCTAGGCACCAGGCCTCCCTCTCCGTTCTCCTCCGGCAAACGGGCCTCCTGGCCCAGCCGGTGGGGGGCTGGCGCCCTCTGGTGGGGGCCGCAGGGGCAGCGGGAACCCGCAGGGCTTTGGTCGCGGACAGGCAGGCGGCCACAGCTGTTGGCGCTAGGCCGGAGCTACTAGAAGCAGCAGAGACCACGCGGGTTAGGGGGAGGGGCTGGCACACCTGTGGTCCCTCGAAGGTCCCGCGGACAGAGCTGTGGCAGGACCTGACCTCAGGCGTGTGCACTGCAGATGGGAGGGACGTCAGGCCAGGCCTGGGGGGAGGTGTCAGGCTGCACTGTAGCCGGGTCCGAGCTGGGGCCTGGGGAAGGGGAGGGAGGTCCCTCCGTTACTTTCAGGCAGCGGACTGCGTTGCCCAGGAGGGTCTCCCCACGATCTGTGGAGTCTGGATCGCCGACTCACGCCTCGTACCCTGTGGGGTGGGGTGCCCACAGGGGCAGCCTGAGTTGAGGAGGGTCAGGTGGAGCTCGCGGTCCTTGAACAGGGTTCCTCGCAGGGTGGGGGGAGTCATGCTCATTTCATCCTGCCCGCCCAGCACGCTCCCTGCGGCTGTCCCATGAGTCTGCCTGTGGCGTCTGCTTGCTCCTGCCCCTGCATGTGGTCAGCTCCTGCGCCCCGTGTGGGGCCCCCGGGTGCCCACCCCTCACAACTGCTTCCGTTCCGGGCATGGCGATGCTTGGGTTGCAGAGGCTGGCACGTCTGGCTTTGCCTTTTCATCTACAGCAAGATAGTTCTGGTGGGGACTGAACTGATGGGCGTGAGGCAGCTCCGGCCCCAGCTGAGCCCAGAAAACTGTCCCAGGAGCCTCGGTATGAACAATACATGCACATGACTGTCGGTCCGCTGGAACCACGGCCAGGGAAAAGATGCTCTCGTCTTTGCTGGCCGAATTCCTACCACCAAACTCTGCCCATCTCTAATTCCTCCCCTGACACTCAGGGTCCCAGTCAAGTTGCAGGCTAGTGAACAGTAAGTACTGCAACCCCCTGGCTTTAAGGTATCAACTCACCCAACATACAGTATCTAGAGCCGGACTCGTTTGTGGCCACATGACCTAGCAAGCCCTGGAAGCCTGTTTACAGTGGGGCCTTGACTTAGGAGTTTAATTCCTTCGGAGACCGAGCTCGTTAACTCAAATTACTCTGTCAACTCAATGCAAAAAATCAGCCGAGAGACAGCTGGTATCTCAAAAAAGACACTCGTAAGTCAAGGCCCCACTGTACAAGTTTTCAAGGAATGGCCCTTACGAAGCAGGACTGAAAGCAAGGGACCCAGATCTGCTCCTCCCTTGGGATTCCTCTGCCCCAGGAGCGGGAAGTGTGAGGTTTCGCACACCCAGAGGCAGCTGCTGCTTAAGACCTGCTTTGTCTGTCTGCCCTCCTCCTCCTCCCTGTCCTCTGGGGCCCGGGGCTCAGGCTCACAGGCGTCAGGCATTGCCCTGCCTGGCTGGCTCCCAGGCAGCTTCTCTGGGGAGTGTGGCCTGGACAGGTGGGTGTGCAGGCTGGTGACTGTGCCCCCCAGCAAGACGTCCCCCTCACCCCAGAGCTAGCGAAGCTGGTGGGCTTGGCTGGCTCCCAATTTGGCAGGAAAAAGACGAAGCACCACCATCCACTCCCCTCCTTGCACGCCACCCGCTCTTCCCATCTCTGGGCCAGAGGAAAAGTGGGCCTGGGCTGCGGGCCAGGCTGGCTGATAGCCCAGGACCGGGACCCAGCGCCGCTCCATTCCGAAGGTCCGCAGGACGGCCGGACGGCGCTGGGATGGACGCGACTCCAGTGGAAGAGTTGGCAGCACAGTGGCCGGGGGAGGAGGCGGAGGGGCCCAGCGGTGGGATATTCTAGTCTCTGCGGCCTGCCCTGCCCATGGGTGTGAATTTCTAGAAACTGCAGACTCTGACCTGAAGAGGGCGCCAGAGGACAAAAATCAGATCCCCGCTTCCCCCACTGTCTGTGTCCCTGTGTCCTTTAGAAAACGGGGACACTGTTGGCCTCAGCTGGGGGAGCAGGAGTCCTAAGCTGCCAGTGTCCCCAGAGGGGACAGCACCCAGCCGGCGGGACTAGGAAGCAACCCAGCATCGCAGGACATTCCAGTGCGGCCCCAGGCCAGGATCCAAAGTGCCGGGTGCCTGGCCTGCCTCCCTCCCTCAACCACCAAATGCCTCGCAGACTCACTAGGGGGCCGGCGGGCTGTTGGGCTCCGTGTGGGGTCCCGCCGGCTGGGGACAGACTATCTTGCTGAAGGTGCGGAGAGGTGAACTGCCCTCCCGTGTCTGAGAAGCCAGCGGCCTCTGCAATTCCAAACATCCTTCCCCACCCCCTCCCCTCCTCGCCACGGTATCCACTCGGACGATGCAACGGGTGACATCAATGATCTTCTCTCCGTTTCTCTTCACAGAACCGAAGGAGGAAGCTGCCCTTAGCGCCCTCCTAAAGGCTTTTCCTTTGGCAGCTTAAAAGCTGGAGAGAGAAAATGACCCCAGAGAGCAGCCGTGGCTCCCAGTGCATCCTGCCTGCCCCGCGGGGACCAGACCCTCAGCGGGCCTCCCCCGGCTGCGGCTGCGGCTGCGGACCCTGGGCCGCCTTTGCTCTGGGTGTGAGGCCTCCTCCGGGCTCGGGTGGCTTGCTTGGTTACGCTAAGGGGCTTAGGAGTTGTCCTCACTCCCTAAACATTGATTTTGCTTTTCGCTCAGCCCTGCCTGCGCCACACACCTGCACCCCTGAGACAGTCACAAGGCCATCCCTGCACAGTCTGTCGTTTTCCTGCAGGCCTCCTGCGTGCTCCCGCACTGAGGCCTCTCGGGTGTGACCGGGCGAACAGGGCGAGCTGCCATGCTCCCTGCAGGGTCGGGATGGCCCGCTGCCCTCCTCTGCCTTGGGGCCACTTCCCTCTTGCTCTCCGTCTGGCGCAGTCGCTGGGGGTGACAGACGCTGTATGGATGACCAGGCAGCAAAGCAAGGGCTGGCTGTCGGCTTACCGTCCCCCTTGTGCCCTCTGAGGAGGCTTCCATCAGCCCTCTTGTGGCTCGAGGCCTTTTCAGTGATGTTCTTACCAGCTCAGCCGCGTCGCCGCCTTTGCTTTGGCTGAAGCAGTAATAAGTGTTCGCTTCAAATATTTCTCCTCGATTTTGCCTTTTCCTAGAAAGTTTCCGAGATGCGTTAGCGCTTCACCAGGTAATCAGGTTGGTCCCAGGTTGGTTTCCTGGAGTTTTCTATGTGACAGTATTTATACCAGGCCAGACTAGTCTACAGTCTTTAGATGTGTAGGTTAAAACGTTTTCTTAAAGCAATAAGTTAATAGGAAAACCTTTTCCATTGAATGGAAGGCTGGGAAATAAATGTCCAGTGTCGGCCCCCGGGCATGTCCCGTTCCAAGGGCCCTTCTGCTCGGGCCTGATGCTTTAGGTTCAGGGCCGAGGGCAGAGCAGGCAGCGACCACAGCCACACAGAACCACAGGACGACAGATGTCCCCTTGTGGGCATACGTGGCCCACACAGCCATAGCAGTGTCCTTGTCCAGGCTGGGAGCTGCTGATACCATAAACAGGCGACTCCTCCAGGTCAGTTACCTCAGTCTGTCTGCAAACTCCGAACGTAGGCACCAGGCCTCGCGTCCGGCTGACGGCGTGGATCTGCGTTTCAGCCTCTGTTCAGTCCAATAAACTCGGAGCTGATGATCTTGATTACTGTGTGTTTTTTCAGTTTTGCTTGTTTTAAAAGATAATCTCCTCTGAACCCCTTAAAACTTGAGCTTTCTCTCATGTTGATGCCTGGCACTCACCCTGTTAACAGGATGCAAGTGTCACGGCCCTCGAAACACGGGCGCGTTTGCGTTCACTGGTGGGGGTGCCCACACGTACATCTGATGAGTCCATCCAAGGAGCTCAATACACACCCTTCCAATGCCCAGTGCTGCCCTTTCTTCAGGCGGCAGGCGCAGGGCCCCTGGCAGAGGCTCCCTCTCCTCCACAGGAAACACTGGAAATTACTTTCCCGGGTGGCACAGAGGCTGGCACTGGGGACAGGGTGGCACAGAGGCTGGCACTGGGGACTGCAGTACTCCAGCCTCCAGGTGCCACTCCAGTCAGAACTGCTGGGTGGGGAGACATGGTCCTTGCAGAAGGGATGTGTTGGGACAAGTGTAAGACAAGCCATCGCACCCCTGCCCAGCAGCGCGGGGTGCCGGCCCTGCAGGCTGTGCCCAAGCCGTGCCTGGCTGGACCTGCAGTGACGACAGCAGCCCGGCTGCAGGGAGGTGCTGCGGTCCCACCCTGACACTTGGCTGACATTCTCAAGGGGACCGACGCCAAGCTGGTGGTGTGGTGTGCAGGGAGGAATTACAGAGGCCCGAAGCCAGAGCAGCGAGCCGGTGCCAGCACACAGCACCCGGTCATGCCAACAGCACAGCAAACCAGGCAGAACAAACAACCAAACTGTTCCCTGGGTTTGGTGTCTGCAGCTGCGCTGGGCAGATAGCGTGGCTGAGCCTCGTAAAGACAAGAGAGCAGCCCGAGTGTCATAAACAAAGCCGATCTCCAGCCACACCTGAGGGACAGGGACCCGCAGGCCATAAGGTGTCTATGCAAATCAGAGAGAGGCGCCCCTTCCTTTGAGCAGCGGAACCCCACCCCCACCCCCACCCCTCGCCCTTGGCCAAGCACATCTGTACGTCCCCCATTCCCCAGCCCACAGTGTGCTTTCTCCTCGCTCTGGCTCCTCTACACGAAGGCTGCTGCTAACATTTCCGCACAGAGCCTCCAGCCCTTCATGGGACGCACCTTCTTCCTCCTCGCCTCACTGAGATGTGTGGTCAGGAGCCAAAGGGGGTTCCGGGGGGATCAAGCACCGAGAACCCGAGCCATACTGGGGGGTCCCCAAATCTCCAGGGTGACCCAAGTCTCAGGTCATGTTTAGAACTCTAGCTGAGTCCTCTAGTCTAGACCACACCGCCCTGTGTTCTGAGGGGGTTGGTTGGAGTTGAGTTTTCTGCTGTTCTGGACGTTCGCGCAGCACTCCCCTGCCCCCGAGGCTCACTGCTCTCCCCGCCCGTGTCCTTTCTCCGGCAGAGTTCAGAAAGAGCAGCTGGCGGCCATCTTCAAGCTCATGGAGGACAACAAGGAGACGTTCGGCGAGATGTCCCACGGCGACGTGCAGGAGCAGCTCCGGCTCTACGACATGTAGGCTGCCACCTCCGCCCGGTGACGCTGTGCCATGACGCGGCCTGACCCGACCCCAGCCCTTGTCACGTCGACTTTGTAGGCGTCCCTTGATCTTCTATCCACAGACAGAGAGGTTCATCACGTACAGATCTGCTCAGTCCTCGAAGCCTCTGTGTTGTTACAGGAATCAGGACTGTGGTGTTCAGGGGAGAAAGGCCCGGCTCCTCTGGCTTCTGCCCATGGGGGAGGCCCCAGCTATTCCATAGGTAACCCTCCCAGGCCCCGGCTGTTCCATAGGCAACCCTCCCAGGCCCCGGCTGTTCCATAGGCAACCCTCCCAGGCCCCGGCTGTTCCATAGGCAACCCTCCCAGGCCCCGGCTGTTCCATAGGCAACCCTCCCAGGCCCCGGCTGTTCCATAGGTAACCCTCCCAGGCCCCGGCTGTTCCATAGAGAACCCTCCCAGGCCCCGGCTGTTCCATAGGTAACCCTCCCAGGCCCCGGCTGTTCCATAGGTAACCCTCCCAGGCCCCGGCTGTTCCATAGGTAACCCTTCAGGCTCCAGCTGTTCCATAGGTAACCCTTCAGGTTCCAGAGGCTCCAGCTGTTACACAGGTAACTCTCCCAGACTGTCTTCCACTCCCGAACTGAACCCTCCACGCAGCCCCAGGGCAGGGGTGGCCCGGGAGGGTTGACCTGAAGGCTCAGGCCCCAGCACACATGTGGAAGGATCCCTGGTGCCGGGGGAAGATGTGTATCAGGGCCTGCGGCCTGCATGTCCAGTCTGGTAACACTACACTCTTACCCTGCCTTAGAAGGACTTCTGGAAGCTTCTGTGACTATAGGGAAGCAAGCAGTGGGGGAGCACTCTTTCAGCAGAGAGGCTAATTCAACCCCACCGTCCATCCTGGAACAAAGCATCCGTCTCAGGGTTAAGGCCCTCCCAGCATTTCCCTCACATAAGCATGAGACTGACTTTACGTATAACTAAGCACCTAGCACTATGCCAGACACAACAGACAGAAGACACAAACCCTGGGCACTCGCCTGCCTTCAGGGAGGTGAAGGCGCTTTAGAGAAGACAGGCCCGGCGCAGGGGAGGAACCTCCCCAGGCAGCATTCAAGAAAATGCTAAAACATAAAGTCAATAAAACCTCAGAACAGTCGGGGCCCCTCACGAGAGCCGGGTGTTTCTGTGGGGCGCAGGCTGTGTCTGATCTCCCCGCCGGCGGAACATTTCAGAGCCAAGTGAGTTAGGAAGAAGCCATGATGTTCTTATATTTTTTATTTGCTGGAATAAAATGAAATCAACACACAGAATTAAAAGAGGCCGGGGCATTTTGAGGCCCTGAAGTCAGCAACGCTGGGGACAGGCACCTCCTCTCCTCTCCCGTCGCTAGACCCGTTCTCGGCCTCCTCCACCTGCTGCTGGAATCCCTTTGGCTTTTTTGCTGACAGTCGGCATGGCAGGCGGGCTGCTCTCTTGCCCAGGGTTATACTCAAATGTCAGTGCTTTTTACTCTTAAAAATTATTTTTATCTTTTTTGCCAAGCTTTTAAAAATTTCATGATTTGAGAATTGTTTGTCCCCTTTCTGGGGTCTCAAGGACCCACGTACCTGGTTTTATCTCGCTATTCCCTGAACGCACACAGCGGGCAGGTCTCCGGGGCTGCCCTACAGGGTGGCACTGCCCTGTTGGCACTGTACTTCCTTTTCCTCACCTCCTGCCCCCTGTCCTTCCTTTGCTGCCTCACTGAGACACCATCAAGTCCATTTGTGGCCAGAAGAGTCCTCTTAAAAACAAAACCCATCTCTTTTTAAAAATATATTTTTATTGATTTCAGAGAGGGAGGGAGAGGGAGAGATAGAAACATCAATGATGAGAGAAAACCATTGATCTACTGGGGATCGAGTCTGCAACCTAGGCATGTGCCCAGACCAAAAATTGAACCGGTGACCTCCTGGCTCATGGGTCCATGCTCAACCACTGAGCCACATCAGCTTGGCTAAAACCCATTTCAAACTGACACCCCCATGTCCCCCCAGATATCAGTATTGCTACAGGTCAAGAAAATCAAAGTACCTTCCAAATAACGTACCTGCTGATTCGAGCCCATTCTTAGAGGTTTCCTGGTAAAAACTTTAACACCATGAGATAGCACCCCACCCTGCAATTTGCAACCAAGAGGAAACACCCGTTCGTTCACAAGTGTGGCGGGGAAGACAAATTCACCCCATTAGGGCCACAAAACAGCAGAAGGTAGGGAGAAAAATCAGAGGGTGGCTTCCACAAGCCAGGCCACGGCAGGCCACCGCCAGTGTGTCACCGCCAGGCGGGGCCCAGGAGCCAGCGGAAGGGAACTCTCCAGGTCTGGAGGTTCAGAGACTTCCAGGGCGCAGTCTCCTCCAGCAAGAGCAGCCTCTCCGCTTCACTCCGGCACCGCCCCCCTTCACCCCGTTACCGCCCCCTTCACCCCGGCACCACCCCTTCACTCCAGCACCGCCCCCTTCACCCCGTTACCGCCCCCTTCACCCCGGCACCGCCCCCTTCACTCCGGCACATCCCCCTTCACTCCGGCACCGCCCCCCCTTCACTCCGGCACCGCCCCCCTTCACTCCGGCACCGCCCCCCTTCACCCCGGCACCGCCCCCTTCACCCCGGCACCGCCCCCCTTCACCCCGGCACCGCCCCCTTCACCCCGGCACCGCCCCCTTCACCCCGGCACCGCCCCCTTCACTCCGGCACCGCCCCCCTTCACTCCGGCACCGCCCCCCTTCACCCCGGCACCGCCCCCTTCACTCCGGCACCGCCCCCCCTTCACTCCGGCACCGCCCCCTTCACTCCGGCACCACCCCCTTCACTCCGGCACCGCCCCCCTTCACCCCGGCACCGCCCCCTTCACCCCGGCACCGCCCCCCTCACTCCGGCACCGCCCCCCTTCACCCCGGCACCGCCCCCCTTCACCCCGGCACCGCCCCCTTCACTCCGGCACCGCCCCCCTTCACTCCGGCACCGCCCCCCTTCACCCCGGCACCGCCCCCTTCACTCCGGCACCGCCCCCCCTTCACTCCGGCACCGCCCCCTTCACTCCGGCACCACCCCCTTCACTCCGGCACCGCCCCCCTTCACCCTGGCACCGCCCCCTTCACTCCGGCACCGCCCCCCTTCACTCCGGCACCGCCCCCTTCACTCCGGCACCGCCCCCCTTCACTCCGGCACCGCCCCCCTTCACTCCGGCACCGCCCCCTTCACTCCGGCACCGCCCCCCTTCACTCCGGCACATCCCCACTCTGGATCCCTGCCCCGGAGGCGCTCACACACACAGCTGTGGCTCGTCACCCATCACACACCTGCCGTGGGTTAAAACCATGTCCACAGACAGTCCGTGTCTGTGCACCAAACTCTCTTCGCTGGAGACTTTCCAGGCCTCCTCCTTCCCTCTAAGTCTCTAGTACCTGCCAGCATCGGACAGAATGAGTGTCTCCTCGCTTCCCGCCCTTAGAGCCGCTGCCTTTCCCAGGGGCCGCACTGAAGGAAGCGCGCACTCTGAGCAGCCTGGAGAGCTGCCTAAAGCCAAGGGCAAGCGTGCTGCGAGCTGCACACACAGCCCCCTCCAGCCGCCCCCCACTCCCACCCCCCTTTAGATACTTTATACTTGTTTTCAGGGCTTTAAAACCTGAAAATGTAACGAGTTTTCCTAAGAACAGATCACTTGAAAGTTGTTTTGTTCTTCCCAATTTGATGATAAGAAATACACTTGTCCAAAGGACGCCCTGTACTCACAGTTTGACAAAGTTTACCTTCTGGGCAGCTGTCTAGGCCTGGAAGACGGCAAGTGGACGCCCGGCTGGGCCCAGACAGACGGGGCCTCCTGTGCCATCTGGACGCACCACCACCCTCACTGCCTGGGATCCATGTCCAGGCTCCACTTCTCACTGTAGAAGGAGAGGTTACATGAACGTGAAGCAGGGGAAGTCATTTCCTTTCTCCGCTCCTCGCCTCCCTTAACAGAAGGCCCCAGGATGGATAACCTGGGCACCCCCCCCCCCCCCTGCCCGCCCGCCGTCCTGCCAGGCTTTAGTCCTGGGTCCCTGGAGAACGACGGCCAAGCTGAGCACTTTCCCAACTGTCACAGTTCTGTGTTGTGTCGTGGTCTTTTGTTTTCTTCCCCCATTACCATCACTCTCACTTTACTTTTACTCTATTTCCCGCTCCTGAGTCTTCCACCAGGTTCTCCACCACCACTTCTACTCTTTATGAGTAAACCATTTTTATTAGTTTTGGTTTGGGCCTTTCAGCCCTTATTTTTGCTAAAATAGCAGCCCACACGCACGATCTCTGGAGATCACCCCATGGGAAACGCTGCTGGCTTCCTCATTCTTTTTAATGCTGCAAAGTCTGCTGAATAACAATACTATAGTGCGGATGGCTGCCGTCTATTCTGCCATTGGCCGACTAGTGGGCATCTGTATCGCTGCCATTCTTGCTAATTCAAATACCACTGCGCGCCTCCCTGTGGAGGTGTCTCAGGGCAGATTCCTGGGAATGGACTGGCGGTCAAAGCTAAGTTCACAGGTTCCTTTGTCAGGTGTCACTTCCCCACTCCCCACCCCATCCAATTTGCAGCACATGACAGAGCGTTTCTGCGCTGACCTTCCCGACGGACCTTGTCAAATTTTGGATTTTTACCAACCTGATAGGTCAAGATGTTAGCTCAGTGAAGTTTTAATTTGCACTTTTTTAATGAAAGAGGTTGAGCATCCATTCAAGTGTTTAAGGGCTCCTTACATCCCACCCCCCACCCCATAAAGAAGGGGTTCTCAAACTTTTTAAACAGGGAGCCCGTTCACTGTCCCTCAGACCGTTGGAGGGCCGGACTATAGTTTAAAAAAAAAAACTATGAACAAATTCCTATGCACACTGCACATATCTTATTTTGAAGTAAAAAAACAAAACGGGAACAAATACAATATTTGTATTTGCATGTGGCCCGCGGGCCGTAGTTTGAGAACCCCTGCAAACTGTCCGTTTCTGTCTCTTCCTGCTTCCTACTGACCATCATCCATCCATTTTAGCTCTAATACCCCTAACAGCGCACATTTCCCATTATTTGGGCCGTGATTCGGGGCGCAGCGCCGGCCGCCCAGCCCCGGTTCTGCGTACGGGAGGGGGCGTGGCACGAATGGGTCCAGAGGCCAAGGCAATGCCAGGAAACACCTACCAAACTCCGCAGCCTTGGTTGAAAGCCATGATACTGAGGAAAGGCCCTTCATTTACGCGTTAATTAATCGCTCACTTTACGCACTCGGAGGAAGCCCGCACGGGGACAAAACACACAGGTTTAAACCTTACTTTCCACGGCGGGTATCCCTCCGCGGCACCTCAGTGGTTCGAGCATCTGCCAATCTCTGCGAAGGCGAAGCTCTTGATTGCCATTGGATCCTGCACCCTCATTGGCTCCCTCCTCCCCAAACCCCGCCCTCCACTCAATGATGGTAGTCCCGGATGTCCGGCCTCGTCCAGTCGCCTTTCCTCAGGGATTGACAAGGGCCTTTGTCCAATGAGAAGCGCGGGGTGGCTCTTGGGTCCACGCAAGCCCCGCCTCTCGCCTCTGCCGCAGAGGCTGCCGGGTGTGGGGCCTACGGGCGGCTGTTCGCTGACGCGCCTGGGCCCGGGCTTCCGGGTTTGCCCCTGGAGGCCGAGCCCGGGCTGGCGGCGCCTCTGCGCCAGTCGGTTCCCACACCGAGGCCCCTGCCGCCTCGAGGTGCGACCTGGCGACCTGCCCGGCCCGGGCCTGGCTCCTAGTTCCCTCCCCGAGCGCCGCGCCAGACCCTCAGTACGAAGATGACTCCCAGCGGGTTCCCGTGCCCCAGGCTCCCGCCAACTCCCCGCCAGCACACGCCCCGGGCCCGTTGCAGAGCGGGGCCTGGGGCCTCCGGCCGCCGTCCGGGAGATGGGCCAGCACGCCTCCCCGTGCAACCTTGGTTTCCCAGTTTCCCGTTACCCACGCGCCCAAGGCAAAATCCGGCAAATCCTTCGGGTGGGCAGCTGCACGCACCCATTTCCGCCCCGAGGGGCCGTGGGTGTGGTGCTGACTTAGGACGGTGCCAGGCAAACGGGGCACACCCTCACCTGTGCCCGCCGTTCACGCTCCGCCCTGGGCACTCGGCTGGGGTTGACCTGCGCGCCGCCGAGTCTGAGATCACACGCCAGGTTCCGCCGCCCCAGTCCGGCCCACTGGAGGCTTCACACCCTGGAGTGGGGTGCCACCCACCTGGATTTGGGGCGCCTGGCCATGGCCTAGGTCCCCTACAAATGAAAGGGGGCCGTGCCGCAGACCGGGCTGGGTGCCCAGAGGTCACTGAAGTCTGTCCCACAACTGCCCACCTGCAGTCGGGTCTCCCAGCAGCCTGGCTCCTCTCCTCTCGGCGCTGTAACTACTTGCGAGCTCCAGGCTGCCAGGCCCTTGGCGCCTTCAGAGGCTTAGCACGTTCGCCTCCGCTGTGTGCGGTGCTGTCTGGCTCTCTCGCCGTCAGCCTCAG